AGCTGAAGAAGCTTCTCAGACGACAGGTGAAACGTCTTCAAGAAACTTAGAGAAGTCCAGTCGTTTTTCTCTCCAAGCTTCTTAGATCATCAGCAGCGCTTTCAGGTGAAGCCACTGAAGACCACGAGCTCCTCTGTACACAGACGAGTCAGAGGTGAGGGCATCTGTCCCACAGCCAAAACTGGAGTCGTGCATCGGGACAATGTACCCAAACACAGTCAAGGTGCTGCAATATCCCAGTCACAGTGTGGACCTGAACTCCATTGAAATGCTGTGACCTTATGAGAGTAGTGTATAAATAAATGCACGTAATCGACGAATATTAAATGTCATGTGACCTTTGCTTAAGCAAATCTAATAACTCTTCAGAGAAGCACACATTGTTCACGTCATGTTTGCACTGTGATGAGAATCCCATCCTGTTCCTGTTGGATGTTTTTGCAGTGGTGATGAGGATGCTGGTCATGTCTAACGTACTGTGTTGTGTCTCTCAGAGTGGAATGAACATTGAGAAACAGATCGTGCAGCTCTCTCAGCGCAGAGACAGGCTCGTCCCAAAGCTGGATCAAATCCTTGCCAGAGTCCAGTCTCCAAGCTACCTCACCAAGGTTCCTTCTCATGTCCGGGAGCAGATGGACAGTAAGGTGAAGGAGACCTGCAGCAGCTTTGTTTGTAACTGCTTCACTGTATCTGAGTCAGCTTCATGGTTTGGAGAGAGAGAATCAAAGCTCAGGGAATGGCACTGCTGTTATCGCTCTCTAACCAACAGATGGTTGTAGAGTGGTGCACTGAACATTTCAAAGACTGATGCTGAGATTTTGCTGATAAATAAAAATTACAATTTAAAATAGGAGATTATATGAAACCTCGTACATATACGTACATTCTTCCACTCAAAAACCTCGAATCCTGCTGTGGCAGAATGAGGAGCCACACACCAGCTTTGCACATTCTGGTGCTTTTTATTTGTTGCTGTTCAGCTGCCCTGCATACACCTCCACCCTCCTGTCCCAGCACCGTCCTTAAAGGGGAGGCGTGGTTTGGTGTTGGAGATCAGGTGCGTATGACACCACACTATGAACCAACTGCTCCACCTGCCCCCTGCAGCTGAGCCACACCCCCTGACAAAACAGCCCCCAAGCCCCTTTTTGAGCCATCAGTCTGCAGAACAAAAGGTAGAAAAAGGCTAGGCGTGTAGAGCAGGGGTTTCCCACAGAGACCCTTCTTTACCTGCAATAAACACCGCCTGGCACTGCTCCGTCCATTAGACCAATCTGGGGTACCCTTTTGGATGAGGTCAGTCAGTCTGGCGGTTGTACCCAGCCAGCCCCAAGAACCGCCTCAGCTCTGTTTCAGTCTTAGGCCGTGGGCAGGATGCGATGGCTGCCGTTTATCCACCTGCCCCCCAAGTGGTTCCTACTGTACCTCCCGCCGTCCAACTTCACACACATCTAAATTTTTGTGTGGGCTTAGACCAGTTTTCTTGAATCCTGTCCAACGCCTCCCACAGCTTTCTCCCAAACAGTAAATCAAAGGGAGAAAGTGGAAGAAGTTGTTCACGGCCAAACCAACAGCCGCATCCAGACTGGTTGGGTGGTGCAGACCCACTCCGCGGCTTCTGCGGAAAGCCCCGCGATGAACTGTACCACCAGCTCTACGATGCAGGCCTCAACGGGTAACCAAGCAGCTCCCAGGTTCTCCAGTATTTTTGTCCAGGACTAAGACTGGCCCCGTAGCTTCTCCCGCTGGTGGTAAAACACTGCCGCTGGCTCCTTCTGCTCTCTCTAGCCATGATCTTAGCCATCATCTGGGCCAGCATCTCAGTTGGTTGGGCTGGTTGTGGTTCCGTCGTGCTGCGGCTGGGTTTCAGCACCACTGTGACAGAATGAGGACACCAGCTTTGCACATTCTGGTACCTTTGATGTCTTAGATGTTTTTCCTCATTCACAAAGCACCAGCAGGTATTCATCTGCTCTGCACACACCGACATACACACCTCTCCCCTCCGGTCCAGGCACCATCCTTACATGGGAGGCTGGTTCACTGATGGAGATCAGGTGCACGTCAACCTCCCCTGACACCACTCCTCCACCCCTCCCCTGCAACTGAGCCGCACCCCGCCACACGTACACGGTGGATCTCCTCCTAAGCCTAGGCCACACTCAATTTTAAAATGCACAGTCATCTTAAGCTAATATGTGGCTTCCTGCTGTCGTTATGCAATCCTGTGAGATTTTGCACAGTGAAAGCAAGGAAACGCATGTAAATGCTAATGGTGTCATCAGTTGTTGTTGTGTCATTGTGCAGAGAACATTCACTCTGTGAGTTCATACTAGCACTGTATCCATCTCTGTATTTTCATATGTTCTACTCTGTGTGTGCAGGTGTCTGCTTTGGAGCAGGAACTGAAAACTGTTGAGGATCAACTGAAATTGCTGCAAGAGATGCAAACAGCAGAGTAACTGAAGCCTTCGCAGTAGCTGTGTGGACTGCTGTAGGAAAAAAGCTGCTGTTTCATTATTTATAATATTATAGTCAAAAATATGAACTTTATATTATGTAATGGAGTTATACACTGTATAAGTAGCAGTCCTGTCTGGCTCCAGGTGTTTTGAGCATAGTGGAAGCATCTGCATTTGATCTGTTGCTCTTATTCCAAAAATATTGTCTTCTGTTCTGGCCTTTTAAAAACTCTGATTTTAAAATTTTTATGATCAACTTTTCATTTTCATTGTTTTACCATGAATGCATTTCAAATCTGAATATTGCTGTGGGAAAGCACTTTTTGAGTATATCATAATTTAGACCCCAGAAGAATCATGGAGCGAATAAAGGAGGCTAAATAACTAACATGCGAACTAAAACAGCAGTTAATCTATTGATAGAAAATAAATACATCATAGAAATTCAATTTTTATTTTTTTTTAAATACATCGATTAGAGACTAAATGTAGAAAGATAACTTAGAGTGTTCATACAGAAATTCATCCTCTTACTTTGCTATAAACAGCAGGAAGTCAGCACTCGTATCTAATGACAGAATGAAGGTTTTCCTGCACAGCTTCACCTTCTCCCAAAGAGCATGGACAAGAAGAGCGGTCTGAGTTCAAAGCTCAAGCAACACTTGGCATAAAGATCAGCTTTATTACTTCACCAACATGTTTCAGCCTGTGAGTTTCATCGGGGTCGTCAAGAACTGCCCAGATTTCACAGCCATGTTTTCCACAGGTTAACAGTCCTAGTTATGGTGGTTTTGTGTGGCTGCAGACGTTCCCTGTTTGTCTGTCATGCAGGCGGTCAGTAGCTGTGACAGTTTGCCAGAAAACAGCTTTTACCCAAATTCTGAAAACTGCCTATCCAGAAGTTATTAACCTCAACTCCTCAGAACTTCTCTGCGCCCCCAGCGGTACATCCTTAATTAGATCACATAAGCAAAGAAAAGTAAAAACACTCCCAGGGATTCTACCTATTCATGAGCAGGTTGCACCGTTCTTAAGAAGTGCTCAGCCAAACACCCTGAGTGAGTGTAGGAAGACCTTTCCAAGCTTCTTCCCCAGTTGCAGCTGGGACAGGCTGCGCACACTCAGATGTACATACTTCCTGGCACATTTGTGATTGTGCCGAGCAGCGAGCCTTAATTTTAGCTGGAAAGTATCAGCTTTCCTAGAAATAAAGAAAGAACCTCGAGATTATGCCACAGTCCTCGTTCCAAACATATGCTGTTGAGTATTTGGTTCTCTTGTTTAACCACTGAAGTGAGGAAACCTTTTTTTGTCACATTTATTCAAACTGTGTTTTAACTTCAAAGCTTTAGGGTTACATCTAGGTTACAGTTTGGTGCAGTTGTGATGATTTAGCTTTGGAGTTGGAGTACTGGAATAATTGCAGTCGGTGGAAGTTAATAACAAAAGGAAACAGCTGTTAGCCAAAGAGAAGTCAAGACGGTAACTGGAGGTCCATGACTTCCTGGATGAACACCACTGCCAGTACATAAAGTGGGTAAGTCTCCTTGTGCCCAAGATCTTGCATAAACCCAGTCTTGTTTTGGATTTGAAGGCTACACTGTAACTACCATGTGATGGCCTACGTTCAGCTCTCCAATCTAGTAAACAGCTTCAAAGTTACTGACATGAGTTAAACTCATCCACCTGATTTGTAACTTTAGTTCATTACCTGCTGACTATCAGTGTAGTAAACAAATGTAATGACTCACACAAGCATGAGGAACACCAAACTACTGAACTAGCCAGTTCCCGGACCGCTGACAGTGTGGGTCCACGTTAGGGCAGTACAACCTTGCAGCTGTCCCATTGGACAGATGTACTATAGTGACAGTCCCGTCACCATGGCCTGGATGTCACTACACCCTTTACAGAATTACAAAAACACCTTCTGATAGGGCAAGACTTGTGTTTTTGTGTCTGTGGAGGTGAACCATTCTCCTGGAGTGATAAAGCTTTTCTCCTTTCTCTTAATTTGTGTGCCCAGAAAATGCCACTAAACCATTCATATTAAAAACACATATACATAAAAACACAAAAACTGTAAGAAAAACAGTGCAATGATTTACCGTGGCAGTATGTCATGCCTCCACTTCTAAAATACATCTTCAGGAGAGAGGAGGCCTGCCAGACGAGTTAGAGGATGCACGTTTTTAGTTTCTGTGTATAACAGAGGTACAGCACAGCTGGAAAAATACAAACCGTGGTTGGATGGCTTACAAACTACTACTATTTTATCTTTAAGGTGATGCCCCTGTGTTTGTGTGTGATCATTTTTTTAAGTTTTAATGTTTTAAGTATATCTTGTAACATTTGCTCAAGTTGTGAATTTATTTAACTAACTACTATCCTAACCTTCCCTTGCAAACCACGCAGACGTTAGATGTAACAACTGAATTTCACATTCCCAGTAACACATTGAAGCCTACAAAGCAGTAGGTCCGACCTCTATGGAGTGTCTAAGAAAACCTGCGGCAACAAGTGAAGACTGGAATGATCAGAGAAAAGTGATTTTGTGAGCTGGAAAGATGTGAGTTTGTCAGGGATTAGACTTCGGCTCGGTTCGGGTCAACTCGGTTCTAAGCCAGTCGACAATCCGGAAGTGTAGTTTTGTGCAATCAAAAGAAAAATGCCATCAACACACATGGGAGGTAGTGGTCTGTGGAGTAAGTGAAGCCCCTGGCTGCAGGGACACAGAGAAGCGCTTCCCTCCGCAAAGTTTCTCCGTGGAGCACAGACCGCTAGCAGTCTGCCCCCTGCTGCGGAGCAGACACTGTAGCCGGCTAACATAGACAGCTGCTGGCGCTGGATACGGGAACGAGGCCGGGAAGATGACTGAACAGGAGGCGGATAAGGTGCAGAAAGTGATACTGGGGCCTCTGTGAACCCACTCAGAAATGTGCTGCTTAATGTCACACCATAAGAAATAAGAGGGTCTCGACTAGCTAACGTCAGCTAGCTCGCCAGCTAGCCGGTTAGTGCTGCAGCTCGATGAGCCTCAGTTCATTTGGAAATGCAAGCCTCGTTTAGCGGGCCAGCACGGCATGAGAGAGGTGAGTGACCCTGGATCCTGCCGCTGCATCCTGTCGTTGACTGGGGCGGCTGTTCAGCTAAAAAGCTGTCATTGTGGCTATTTGGCGTTAGCCGGCTTGCTAACAGCACGTCAGCGCAAGTGAACTGGTTAGCTGGCCGTGAGGATGATCGGTATGTGTGTGATGCTCAGAGACCGCTGTAGAGGGGACAGACACTGGGCACGGCCCTGCTGCATTTAACACGCACCGTGTCCTGTGCTTGAACTCAGCTTCAGCGACACTGGGCATATGAAGCGAACAGTTCAGCGACACAGACGGCTGCTGTGTGCAGAGTGGACGAGTCAGCTGAAAGCAGAACAACAAGTTTGTAGTGTTGGCAAACTAAGAGGCGTCGGCCGCCCTCCCAGTCCTTCCCTGCCAGCCCCCAGTTCACAGGAATCATGTGAGCCGAACACCGGTAAGCCCGGTCCGTGTCCGTTACTTCAGTAGGTTCGTGCCGCAGGCTGCTCTCTGTCATCCTACCAGTCAGCTCCACGTCGGCTGGCGGAGGGAGGAGGGGATTCACCGAGACTTTCAGCTGGTACACTTTGTGACAGGAGCAACAGTTTCTTCTTCTGCTCGGCTCCTCTTGTCGGCTTGAAGCCCTGCATGGCTGAACAGGACCACGACTTCAGGTACAGTTGGCAGTGAGTTTAACTTGCTGGGCTTAGTCTCTCTGACCAGTTTGTGTCTGTCTGTTCTCTCAAATTTGAGGCATTTTTTAATTTCAGTTGAGCTGATGATGTCTGACACTGTCCGGGACTCTTGACCCTTTCTTTAATAAGCTGTCTTTTGCAAATAATCAAGCTGCTTGATATATTAAACAGAGAGAGAGAGAGTCATCTGAGAAGTAGTCTCATGGATATTTAGCATAGGTAAACTTACAGAGATCATTATTATAGGAATCAAAAATACTCATAGCTATCTAATGTCACAGTGCTGTTAAAAGTACCTAGTACATGATTGAAAGCTTCAGATTGCAATGGTGAAGAGTTAGAGAGACAAGCCTTACCTTTAACCCCATTCTCAAGTCCACACAGCATTGAACTCTAAATTGGTTTGTTTTGCATATAGGTGGGCGTCTTTGATCGAGTTTTCCTTAGCAAACTGTTTTCATACACAGGTTCTTGACAGTATTGCAAGAATGAGGCAGAGACATGTCTTGATGCATGTTCAAATCCCCAAAAATGCATTCTGTTCATCTGGACTTAGGAGAAACGTTTCGTCACTCATCCAAGAAGACTGGTGGTTCAGTCCCGGGCGACTCTAGTCTTCAGTCTGCATGTCAAATGTCCCGGGCAAGATACTGAACCCCAAGTTGCTCTCTGATGAAGTATGAATGTTTGTAAAAATATAAATTAGAAAGTGCTTGTGTGAATAGGTGAATAAGAACCGTTGTATAAAGTACTTTGGCTGCTCGAGTGTAGTAGAAAAGCACTATATTAGAACCAGTCTACTCCATTACAGGCTGGTTTTCAGCTCTAGTCCCAGGCAGATGGACAATTTTTAAAAAGCTATAAACACAAATGTATTTAACAATGGCTTAATCACTGTTACAGATAATCACAACTAATATATATTGCTGTACAATGTTAAAATTTAAGAGATTAAAATGCAGTTTGAAAGAGAATTAGTACTAACTAGCTGGCAGCCAAAATCAACTTTTAATCTTGATCCAGCTGTCTCCAGCTGTTGTGTTCTCACGCTTACCTCGGTCATAAAAAGTTAGGGTTGCTGTGCATGTTTGAAAATTGTTGTATTGCTTTATACAGTTAAAGCAAAACTAAATTGAAATGAAATAAATATAAATGTTACTGAAGGAAATAAGATAAGTGAAACATGAGAGAAGTTTACATTAGTCAATTAATATACTCATTTTCCAATTTCATGAGAGATTTGCATGAATAGTTTATATATTTCCAGAACACGTTTTACATCAAGTATTCTTTGCACAGTTTGATATTACACCTCTCATTTTATTGTCACTACAATATAATCTAACATTCATCTTTTTCCATTTAAAGTTGCCATACATATAAGACCAAGCGCCTCAACGTGCTTTACGTTGTAGTGCAAAAACCTACAGTACTGTAAAGTATAATCCCCAAATATTGTGAGAGTATTTTAAGCTCTATAGAGGGCTGTCACTGCATTCTGTCATGTTTTTATATGCCACGTAGCTGACATCTATCACTATAGCCGTCTTACTCTGCTTGTTCATCGCTACTATTTCTGGTTGGTTAGCCACCACCAATTTTTCCGTCTGTATCTGGAAGTCCCACAGGATCTTAGCTCAGTCATTCTCGACCACCCTAGGGGGCGTCTCCCATTTTGACCTCGGGACCTCCAGGGGTTTCCATGCTTCTGACACTCACTAGTTCCCAGCCTCCTTCCTTCCGCCTAGCACACAGTCTCAGGGTTCTGGACTTGGGGTGAAACCCTGTATGGAGGAGGAGCTTTCTTGTCTTGATGTTAGTAGCTTCTATCTCCTCCTTTGGCCAGGATATTATCCCAGCAGGGGTACCTGATCATGGGCAGGGCGTAGGTGTTGATAGCCCAGATTTTGTCCTTCCCATTCAGCTGACTCCTCAGGACTTGCCTTACTCTCTGCCTGTGGGATTCACAGGTACTTGTAGCTGTCCTCAACGTCTGCAATGTTGCCTTCTGGTAGGGCTGTCCCCTTACTTCTGACTACCTTCCCTCTCTTTGTTACCATCTTCTCCAGTCTGAATGACATTCCGATGTCATTGCTGGTAGATCCTGGTGGTGTGGATCAGTGATCATTCACTCCTGGCATACATCTTGATGTCAACCATATAGACGAGGTGGCTGATGATGGTGGCTTGCTCCATTCCGTAGTCGGTATCCGTAGCCAGTCTTGTCAGTTATCTCACTGAGAGGGTTCAGGCCTAGGATTTGACAGGACAAAGCATTTGATGGTTACTTGTGCTATTGGCTTGAAGTTGGCTTCTAGTGTTGTTCGCAACATCCCCATTGAGTTCCTGATGAAGCATCCTGTCATAGACTTTCCCGGGGAGGCTAATGAGCATGATCCCCATCATAGTTGGAGCACACCCTCAGGTCCCCCTTCTTGAAGATGGGAACCACTACCCCGGTCTGCCAATTCAGAGGTACCACCCCAGATCTCAACGCAACATTGCAAAGACATGTCAACCGAAACCTTACAACATCCAGAGCCATGAGGACCTCAGGGTGAACCTTATCCACCCCATGGGCCATGCCACCATGGTGTTGTTTAACTGCCTCAGTGACCTTACCCCGAGTAATGCTTAGGTCATCCCCAGACTCTGCTTCCCTAACCCTATCCCACTGAGACGTCTTAATCCTACGGAAGACGTCCTCCGAGTATTCCAACCCCCGACAATATCATCAGTTGAAGTCAGCAGCACTTCACCCGCGCTGTACACATTGTCGGTAGAGCACCGCTTTCCAAAGTTGTTTTTCCATGGCTTCACCAAACTCCCACCTGATTTTTTGTTTCAGCCATTGTGTGGCTTGGTCTGCCAGTGTCACGGTCTGCGGGGCAGACCATAGAGGTGTGGGGAAGATAGGACCCAAAACGCAGGACTCTTCACCGCAATGGTGCGTTTATTGACAGTGTAGGAAAAATAACAATAAATCCCCGTGTGCTCCCTTGACTCCCGTGCAGTGTCTTCTCCCAAAATCCGTGTCTTGGTGCTCTCCGCTCCCGTGTTTTCGCAATCCCCGTGCTCACTACCCTCCTGTTTCCACGCTCCTCCTGGGGGAAAGAATACCAGAGGCAGCCGTCAAGAAACATGCTCTTGCAGGTATGCACACACTGATTTAAACCTTAGTCAAGACACTGACGTGGAGTCTTATGCAACAATCCAGCGTCGAGGAGCGCTCAGCCAAACTGTTAAATAGCTCCCCGACGAGGCTTGATCGACTTCAGGTGTGTGCGCTTCTCCTCAGGTGTGGCCAGGCTCCTGACTGCCACGCCCAACAGGGCTGAAGAACAGGTGCTTTGCCACACCCACCTACACACAAACATAAGGAAACAGAGGACAGAAGCACCAAAAATACACATGTCCATGCTTATTCACAGACTGTGGGTCCTTCAGACCCAGGTCCGTGACAGTCAGTACCCATCGGCTGCCTCCAATGTCCCAAAGGCTAATCAAGCTCAATAGGAGTCCTTTTTCAGCCTGATGCCTCCTTTCACCTCCAGTGTCCAGCAGCTGGTTCGGGGGTTACTACCACGACAAGCACCAACCACCTTGCAGCCACAGTTCAGTGCAGCAGTCTCAGTCCATTTGGACTCAATGTCCCCAGTCTCACTCGGAATATTGTTGAAGCTCTGCTAGAAGTGAGAGTTGTACACTGGGACCTCTGTTAGGTGTTCCCAGTGTACCCTCACTATACATTTTGGGGCACCAGGTCTGTCCAGCATACTCCCCCTGCCACCTGATCCCAAAGACAGGACTTCAAGAAGCCCGAGTACTCTGAACTGTTGTTTGGCGCATAAGTGCAGACGACAGTCAAGACCCGTTCCCTGATCCAGAGGCGCAGGGAACAAACTTTTTCGTTCTCTGGGAAAAACCCCCAATGTAAAGGCATCAAGCCGAGGGGATGCCAGGATACCCACCCCAGCTTGCTGCTTCTCACCAAGGGCAAGTCCATGCTGGGGCCGAGTTCAGCCCTGCTTCTGGAGACTGGTTCCAGAGCCTAAGCTGTGCATTGAAGTAAACTCGACTGTGTCTAGCCAGTACCTCTCAATGTCATGCACTAGCTCAGGCTCCTTCCCCATCAGACGGGTGACGTCCCCATTTCCAGCCTCGGTAGCCAGGAATCGATCCTCCAGGGTCCCTGCCCTTGGTTGCTGCTTGACACACACAATACACCCAACCTCTACGGGAACACCCAACCGTTCAATCATAAAGAATCAAACAATAAATGACAGTTTAAGAAACCGGTCTTCAGTAACTATAGTGTTTTTTTCATCTTGAAAATCAGTATTGCTCATCCAATCATCCAGTATAATATAAAGTGAATAGAAGAGTCTGTTGTGTTGTACTGTGGTAAGTTTGGATCTGTTGACAGAGTGCACATGGCCACTAACCATAACCATTTCTCACTCTGCAGGCATGACACTACACTTTAACTTGTTTGGCTGGAACAAATGTGGGGTAAACTGAGAATGTGACAGTAATGGGTAGCACCTTTATCTACCCACCTCTCTGCTACCTTAGAGAACTGGCTTCATCCTGTCAGAGCACAGGCTTATGTTTGTCAGTGCTAATTGGTTTAGGTGTTTCTAATGCTAAGAAGTGACCTTCATCCGCTCGCTCACTTACTAAATTTATTCCTCTGTTACTTTGAAATAACAGAGAAAGCTTGTCAACATTCAGGTTTATTGGACTGGACATTTAGTTTTAGATGTCTTTAATTTATGAATACTGTTGGTGTCCAGTTGAAGTTGTGTACAGGTCAGTTTCACATGTTGACTAAAACATCAGCCAGAACCTCGGTGTGACCACTCTGTCCTGCCAGAGGCCTTTACTATCAGTTCTTACCGGGGTATATCACCATGATAACGTGCTGCAATCCTCATCTTCCCTGGAGCAAGCTGTGTTCCAGGTTAGAGATCAACAGGCATGAAATCACTGCCTACTGACTAGTGAAGTCTACGGAAAATAGCATCACCATTCCTGGAAGATCCCTCACACCTCTGCAAACTGAGTAGTCTAAGGTTTTCTGATTTAAGTCACCTTAAAACTACATGATTGTGTCCTTTGCTCATATTGCAAGAATCTAAAAGAAGAGCTTGTTTTGAAGGGTTTTTTTCCCCACTAGGGCAGGGCAATATGGCCAAAAATATTTATCACGATATATTTGAAAATTTACCATAACAATATAATTGACGATATAATTGACACTAGACAAAATACTTTACAACTCCACTACTTTATTAGTGCAAAGAAACCCCATCAATGTATTTTCACTTAAACAAGCAGCTGTTTTTATGTGCATTACAAAAATTGTGCTTTGGTGTGTATCTGACGGACAAAAGCGGGGTCAGTTCCTCAACCCTGGAAGTTGCAGCATTTTTACAAACCAATTCTGGTTCATCTGTTTCATTCAAAGATCTACTTTCGCTCTTCTCATTCTCCGTCGCCGCCATGCTTTTTCCGCCATGTGCGTATGAAAGCAAAGGCACTGCGCATGCCCGTTTTACCCATATTCTATTGTGATATTTCATTTTCTTATCATTGCCTAACGTTATACCGGTATTACTGTGAACGATATGATATGACCCAACCCTATTTCCCACCATCTTCCTGTATCCTCAGCAGTGACACCAACCCTCTGCATGCCCTAGTTGACTCTTCCGCTGGGCGAGGAATGGTCTTGATCTTGTTGTGGGTTTAACTGACAGTATAGCTGCTTTTGTTTTACAGAGACACATATACAGTACACTTATGAAATTCTCAAATGACCTACAGTCACCAAGCTGAATGTTTCCCTTCTCTTTTTTTCAGGATGGTGGAAGGATAACATTCAAGGAGTTGCACTCCCTCCACCCAAAGTGACCTGTCTTCTCCTTTTGTCCACTTTCACCTGCAGTCCATTTTGCTAGCTGCAAGCTTGCTGACCTGACCTTATGGGATTTCATAGACTGCATGTATTCCACAGTAACATCATATAAATTCCTTTTAAATTAGACATTCCTATAGCAGACACCCTCCTGACTGAAGGACAGAATGAAATAAGTACAGAATGGTGGGATATTAACTCCCTGCACATCCAAAATAGTCACCTTGGTCTGTAGGATTCATACTGGTATCGCTTGTTCCTTATCAACCCCACCCCTTTTCTAGTGTTATTGGGCCATGGTTCGCAAGAAAAGCTCTTTTATACTATGCGGTGCTTTCCTGTTTGTCGCCTGGAATGCTTTGCTTCTACTTTACCTTTGGGGTCGCCCTCCCATGGGCCACCTAGGAGAAGGCGGTGGAGCTGAACCAGGAGGAAAGGAGGAGTGGGGCATGGTCAGAGGTAAAGGAGGTCAAGTTAACCTTGCTGGGGAGGTCATCCGACTGGCCGAGGAGGTTGAAATTCAACTTGACACCCAGAAAAAGCTATTAAAGCAAATTGAAAGTCACAGGGCGGTGTGGGCTCGGCAGAAGGAGATTGGGAAAAAGCAAACTGATAATATCAAAGAAGTAAATCAGATTGTTGACCAGCAGCAGAATAATCCAGTTCCTCTCATAAATGATGTGTATGTTGGGGACCAAGGTGAAATAAAACACACACAGAGGTCTGTTGCTACAGTAGCTGCAGGCTCCAATATAGAACGGCATCAGGCCACTGATGTAAAGGAAGAGGTTGCTGAGGACAATAAAGTAACAGCTTCTGTTTCTGGTCCACAAGTCATCATTCCCATTCTGGTTATTGCCTGTGACAGAGTGACAGTAAAGCGGAGTCTTGACAAACTGATACAGTACCGCCCTTCTCAAGAACTGTATCCAATCATCGTCAGCCAAGACTGCGGCCATGCTGAGACGGCTCGTGTGATTGGCTCATACGGAGAAAAAGTAACGCACATAAGCCAACCAGACCTGTCGGACATCAGAGTCCGGCCAGAACACAGGAAGTTCCAGGGGTACTACAAAATCGCCCGACATTACCGCTGGGCACTCAACCAAGTATTTCACACATTCTCGCAGTCTACTGTGGTCATTGTGGAGGATGACTTGGAGGTGAGTGCTCTCAGACATCCACATTATTGTCATGGTATTGATGATGGGTGTTTTGATGCATGCTCAGTCATCCAGGTAAGTAAATCTCCAAAAGTTGATTCTGTTCATCTGGACGTAGCGTTTGGGGGAGAAACGTTTCGTCATCATCAGGTGACGTCTTCAGTCTCAGCTGACTGCAGGTTTCAATCTTATAAACAGCACATCTGCATAATGACTGAAACCAGCCCACTGAAGGAACAATGGGCTGGGAGGTCAGTTCCTTAATCTTAATTATGCAAACTCTCATTGATCAACAGCCACTGACCTGTAGGTGTAAATAGACTGCAGAGTCCTGGCAAGCGGATGGTACAACACAGGAGAGCCACCTCGTCAGGCCAGGACTCTGCAGTCTATGCACACCTACAGGCCAGTGGACACTTTCAATGATGAGGATGTAACATCCTGGACAGGGAGGAACGCTGGTTTGAGGGCGGAGTCAAGGAGGCCATTTACGTGAAAAGGGAAAGACCATCTCTGAATGGAGGAGGGGCCTAAGGGTCCATCTGTCACCATCTTACAATGCTGTGATTGCAGCCATTCCCCAACTCCATGTTAATGGTGCTCATGGACATTGATCAGTGGGTTTTGGTCAGTGGTTGTTGATCAATGAGAGTTTGCATAATTAAGATTAAGGAACTGACCTCCCAGCCCATTGTTCCTTCAGTGGGCTGGTTTCAGTCATTATGCAGATGTGCTGTTTATAAGATTGAAACCTGCAGTCAGCTGAGACTGAAGACGTCACCTGATGATGACCAAACATTTCTCCCATAAAACGCTATGTCCAGATGAACAGAATCAACTTTTGAAGATGATGAGTGTTATTTTGCTGTCATTGTATCATTTTAGCAGCAAAGACTTCAGTAGACTTGTCATCCTCTTTTGGCTAGTCCCTTTATTAGGGGTCACCACAGTGAATGATCTGTGGCATATGCTAGTTATAACCGTGGTCGCACCCCAAAACCCATATTTGATTTAAATGTGACAGATAAAAGCGTTTCATCCTTGTGCACTTCTGAGCAGCTTATAGAGCATCTACTGTGTACATTTTACATAGTGTCTCGACCTTTTTGGAATCGAGGGTTATATTTACATGACTACTCAGAACCTCAGGTGGGAAACAACTTGGTATATCCTATTTCTAATGTTGTTCCTTTACATTTTTACTGGTGCCACTTGTGCCTAATTGAATTTGTTCTCCATAAGCACACAGTGGTCTAAGTATGACTGCACTTAAATGATTCAGAGAGTTTCTGTATAGAAGAGTGATCTAAAATCTCTCCTGAGATGTGTGTAGACCTGGTGACCAACTACAAGGAACGTCTTACCGCTGTGGTGCCAACAAGGGATTCTCCCTCAAGCGTTAAGTCATGTTTGCTTGGGGATCAAATGCTTATTTCACTCAATGGCCTGCAACTTATTTGATGGCTTTTATGTCATTTTTGGTTGATATTCTGCCTCTCTCCGGTAAAAGTGAAACTACCATAGAAATTTCAGACTGTTCTACAGAATTATTACCAGCTCTGCGCATGCTGTTGATCCGTGGAGTGTTCTCAGTTTTTCACACATTGTTTTTGCATTTTGGTTCAGTTTTAGTTAAATAAATCATGACACTATGTAGTATGTCGTGGTATGTGTTGTTGTCCATTTCAGGTTGTATTTATCCAATCGTAAGGCCTGCTAAGAACTTCTTTCTTAAGAACTGACCGCTTTAAAGTACAAATCCGTTCTGAAGTAAAAAGCTTCGTGTGACACAGAAAAGTTGTGGTAAAAAGAGGCTCTGCAGTTACAGCAGTATAAAGTAATTTCAACCAGCAGCTCTGGAGAAACTGAGCCCTGGGGAAAAATCTGGCTTTACTTATGTAGCTGGTATCTACCAGTTTGCTCTTTTCATGTTTCAGGCAGGTCGTGGAATGAGTCTGTTCTTTGCTGAATGCTTTGTCTTTAAGAATAAAGAGTTTAAGTGAATGGATCTTTTACACTTGGTGTAACACACCACTGGATTACTACACACTGTATGTGTGGAAGCTATCGTTCAGATTTTAGTGTTTTGTGGACTTTTCTGTTTAATAATAGACCTCAGAGGTGAATATGAATGATCAGGAATGATGCTGTGGTCCCAGGCTGGTCTCAAAGCAGAGACCCTTGTTCCTCTACGACTCCCCCCATTAAAATCTGCTTTAGTTGTTTTGTGGGGGAAACTATTTACATAACAAGCATGTGATGTCTGAGGCAGCCCAGTTACTGATCTTTGTACATGGGATAGGGAAAGAGTTGGAGATTAAGGTGGAACTGGGACTGGAAGATCACGGACGCAGCTGCATGCTCCGATAGGTTGGGGCTGAAATGGGACAAAAAGGGAATGTTTATTCATTGATTAATTAAATTGTTGGTGTTTTTACTATTTTTAATTTTTATTTTCATTGTCTAACTGCAATATCTGCCAATAACACCAGAAGAGAGAGAATTATTATTGAACTATTAATGCTGAGTTTAACTTACTGGTGCAGCCCTCCACAACAGTTTGTTTTCCTCTCATGTAGCCCCTTGGGAAAATTCATTACCCAGTCCTCTAAATTAATAGTTGGTAATTAATAACAGCTAGTGTGTTTGATCCCTACCCTAGGTCAAGTCAAGTGGCTTTATTGTCCTTTCAACCATGTACAGTGGTACAGCACAGAGTGAGGCGAGACAGCGTTCCTCTAAGATGAAGGTGCTATATATAACAGACAATCAGCACAGGACTACAGAAAGTGCAAGTGTGCAAAAATTACAAAACCAGTGCAACACCAGACAGGACAGAACGATGCAGACACGCAACAGTCCAACAGGAAAGTGCAACAACCACAGTGGGTTGTGCAAAAAGACTGAGCATTGTGCAAAAGGTAACTGTGTGTGTGTGTGTCAGTCAGTCCAGTCACTGAGTGTTCGAGAGTCTGACGGCCTGGGGGAAGAAACTGTTCCACAGTTTGGCAGTGAGGGGCAGGATGCTCTGGTACCTCTTTCCAGAAGGCAGCAGGTGAAGAGTGTTTGTGAGGGGTGTGAGGGGTCCTCCACAATGCTGGTGGCTCTGCGGATGCAGTGGGTGTTATACGTGTCCGTGATGGAGGGAAGAGAGGCTCCAGTGATCTTCTCGGCTGTTCTCACTATCACATTGTACGGTATTGCAATCTGATACGGTGCACTTACCATACCAGGCAGTGATGCAGCTGCTCAGGATGCTCTCGCTAGTCTCTCTGTAGAAGGTGGTGAGAATGGATGGAAGGAGATGGGCTTTTCATGTTGAGGGACCAGGAGAGGTTCTCCGGCAGGTGGACACCAAGGAATTTGGTGCTCTTGACGACCTCCACAGAGGATCCAATGATGTTAAGTGGGCAGTGATCTCTCCGTGCTCTCATGAAGTCAACAATCCTGTCTTTTGTTTTGTCCACATTCAGAGACAGATTGTTGACTCTACACCAGTCTGTTAGCTGTTGCACCTCCTCTCTGTATGCTGACTCGTCGTTCTTGCTTCAGTTTTCTAATTAGGTGCTGAGGAATGATTGTGCTGAATGCTGAACTGAAGTCTATGAAACGCATTTGTACATATGTGTCCTTAATGTCTCCATACCAACCCAACAGACAGGCACACCTCTACTGCATGAATATCACGAAAGTGACCAGTATAGGTAAGGTACATCATGCCAGGATCAAGTCTTCTGTCACGGAGCAATCAAACCTTTGATATTCGGCTGCAGGTAGCCTCGTTCTACTAAACACTAATCAGAATGCTTCATCTTGAATAAACTGAACGCTCATCAGTTTAGGTTTTGTTTTTTTTGTTTTTTTTTTTTGTTTTTTGTAGAATTATTAAGGACCTCATGTAGGACATTCAAGCATGAGAAATTATGCAAGAATTACAATCAAAAAGTTCTAGGACTGCAACCATGAAAATCAACTGATTTAAGAAGTCACAGAAATCAGTCCTGAAGTGAACATCAAGAACATCAAGATCTTCTCAGATGGCAAAGCAAAAAGTGAACGCTCGACTTCCGAAAAAACAATTAACATGGAGGAAGGGAAAATGTAAATGTCACATGTTGCATGCAAACTACAAACCAATAACAGCATTTGTAAGGTAACGCTGGGAATGAAAATGATGGGACTCAGCTCCCTGCTTCAGCTTTTGTCTGCTGTATTTGTTGGCTTGTTTATGCTACAGTACTTTCACAAATATGAATCTACAAAGCCAGAACATGCGCTGTCGTACACTAGAATACTCCTTTCAGGCCCGTTCGTTTTGTGGTGAGCAAACATTTAAATGGTTTCAGGTTGAACAGTAGTAGTTGTTGTTGGCTAACAGACTAGAAGAACAAAGGACATTTGGATTGGCATCTTGTCTGTGACCATCAGAGAAGAACAGATAATAATAATAAATAGGTAAATAATACCTGGATCATTACACTTGAGGCAGTGATTATGTGTTTGAAGCAGCAGAATTACTCTTCATCTGTCTCCTCTCTTTCAGGTCGCACCTGACTTCTTCGAGTATTTCCGAGCCCTGTATCCAATCTTGCGTTCTGACCCAACCCTGTGGTGCGTTTCTGCCTGGAACGATAATGGCAGAGACGCCTTGGTGGATTCGTCCAAAGCTGATCTCCTCTACAGGACAGACTTCTTCCCTGGTCTGGGCTGGATGCTGCTGAAAGAGATGTGGGATGAACTGGAGCCCAAATGGCCATCGGCCTTCTGGGACGACTGGATGCGTCAGCCGGAACAGCGCAACGGCCGCTCCTGCATTCGGCCAGAAATCTCTCGGACTATCACCTTTGGCCGGAAAGGTGTGAGCTTAGGTCAATTCTTTGACCAGTACCTTCGTTATATTAAGCTAAACACTGAATTTGTGCCTTTTACCAAACTGGATTTGTCTTATTTGCTAAAAGAGAAGTATGAGGAAAAGTTTAAAGAGGTTTATAGCGCCCCACTGGTAAAGATTGAGGATCTGCAACAAGGGGGCAGTTTAAGAGGACCTGGGCCGTACAGGGTGCAGTACTCCACCAGGGACAGTTTTAAAGTCTTTGCTCGAAATCTGGGAGTAATGGATGACTTAAAATCAGGAGTTCCTCGTACAGGTTATAGAGGTGTGGTCAGCTTCCTGTACCGTGGTCGAAGGGTGTTCTTAGCTCCACCAGAGGGCTGGTCGCAGTATGACACCAGCTGGAGCTGAGAGACCCAGACGCGGTCCAAATGGTGTTGAAGAGGGGACAGAGCCTTAATCAGAGGAACACCCTCTCAGACCAAAGAATACGGTGGACGCAGGAGTTCAAAGTTAAACGTGGAGCTGGAAGGCCGAGCTTCTAAAACTGACGCTCATTGAGGATCGGCACGTGTGGGCCACACAGACTTCAGAGCGGTCCCACTTTGGCTGAAGCCATTCCATCCTTAAACTAAACGGCTGCTGTCGGCGTGCCTTGCTTTCTGGGCTCATTTTGTTTGGTGTATTCTCTCTTCTTGTGACAAACTGGCCAAATATAGACTTGACATCACTTTCAGATGTTTGCAGCAGCTACTGGTAATCATGTCATTATCAACAGTGTGAGTGATGGTACACTGCAGTGGAGCCTGACAGGTATTGGATCAATGCAGTTTTGTTTTTTGGTGGCTCTTAGTTTTGGCTAGTCTGTGATGCAGAAAGAGTAAGCACTCTGCTAGATAAACTATGATAACACATTTGTAATGACTCCCCGAGCATTTTGCTATGAACATCATCAATTTGCACATACTAGACAAAAAGTAAGCAGATACTGTGAAATCCTAGAATCAGTCAGACTCTGCACTGAAAGCACACTAATCACCGTTCACACCTGGGAGAAAGAAGTGTCCTATGTAACACCTTATCCACCTCTTGGCTTCTGTAACGCTTGTAGAAGGCATCACGCATTAGATTGTATATAAAAGATGGACACACTGAAGCCTCGAGCTGACCATTTTAAACATCAGCTGAACAAAGTGAGGGGTCAATCTGACTGTGCAGTGTTTCCCTCCGCCTTCCTACAGCTCACAGATGTGACTACAGAGACAAAAGCAGGGAAAAATGATTTGTGACCATGAACCGATTGAAGTAAATAAACACAGCTTCAATTGTTTTTACTTCTTTCCCCTTGATTTCTGGGCTGGAGATCTTGCTGAGAAACTGAGGACCAATGCAGGCTCATGTGAAAATCAAAAGGTAACCCAACAAGTAAAGCATGCTGTGATTTATCCTCCTCAGAATCATCAGGAAGGTTTTTACTGAGTCCTTAAATCAAGAAAGAGGTTTTTCAAGTTTTTGTGCAGCTGCCCCCTGCTGGCCTTTGGAAAGAATGCAGGCAACACGTGCATCTTTTATATACAGTGTGTGGTAGTAAACAGGCCATTTTCAAAGTTTAGGGAGATCAAAACGGTAGGTTGGATTGAGGACTAACTGACAACAGTGCAGTACTTGCTTTACTGTCTCTCAGTCACGAGGCACAACATTTTTTACTCATGAGTGCTACAAATACAGAGGTGTGGATGCCAAATAACCAGATGTAGTCTGAATAAGGTCTGACGTCTAATAACAGTAATAATAGGTTTCAGATATAAAACAAGAGTGTACACCTGAATCTACTAAATATTGTTTCCACAAAGAATGAAGCTCTGGTGAGAAACCGCTGTTTTAGTGAGGAGGTGACATTGTTAGAAGCATTTACACGGGACAAACAGCAGGTGCGTGAGTGCACGAAGTCTTCACTATCAAACCAACATAGGCAACGAGACTCCACAGAGCCCGTCATCCTGTCGAACTCTGATGAACTTGTGTGAATAATGTTAAAGTGTAGTTTGAGAAGAAAGTGATACCTGCCCACAAACCATCACGTAGGTTAGTCTGTGGGGATGGTTAGTGGCTTTCCTGGTTCAGAAAGCTGCTTAAAAATAGAGCTCTAGTCCTGCTCGAGCAGACGTCTAATCTTAAAAAGAAAAACTTTGAAAACCTGTCACTCCAGTGTGAATCACAGCCATGCTTTACTGAAAAACACTACATTTCAGAGGGTTACAGTATTTTTCCAACACGCTCCCTTCAGGTGTGTCAAGCTGTAGGTTTATGAAGGACGTAAAGCTGCAAATTAACTTCAAATTTCACTGACATCATGATCGCCCTCATCATGAAACAGCAACCAGTGTTTGATAGTTTCTGCAACAGGAGGTCTGTGAGGTAGCTACAGATGATTATCACTGTACTGTAATTAGCTTTGGGAGATTATCTACATGATTGACTGATACCCACTTCTGTATGGTGATGTGTAAAACCACTGCCTGATGTTTATAACTTTATTACATTACAAATAAAATCCACTATTTTGATATTTGTCCATATATTGAAGGAAATTTTCAGTTCTCATATCCATGGGTGTCCACAGTGATCACTCCTTAGTTGGAGCGTAATAGCTGCACTGACTGAAGATCACACTAAAAAGCACACAGGGCACTACACCCTATGTGACCAGACCACGTCTAAAGAATGAAAAAAATACAGACATTATTGTGTGTTGTGCCAAACGAGCTGTGATGAGACGTCTTCGTTCAGCTTCCTCAGTTATTCAGTTGATTCATGGAGTTAAGGTGGCCGACGCGCTGTGAAAAAACCTTTGCATGCAGGACTGTCAGATACTCAAATTTAAAAGGTGCTGTTCACAAGTATACATGGTCCAAGATGTTGTCTTCAACAAGGCTTGGATTTAAAAACAAATATACAACAGATCATACTAACATGTTGAAAGTAAAATCACAAAGACTCACGAATCTAATCTCATTTTAACTCCAAATGATATTAAACATAAGAGATTCCTTTTGGAAAGGATGGATGGGTGTGTGCTCTAGAGAAGGAATCAAACTTCCTGTCAGCAGTTAAAAATCCCACATGCATGATATTATCAGGCTCCATTTACACCTATGCCGTGAATATTGGTGAAAGCACCGTTAATGGTATGTAGAGGTTTTAAAGAAAACTGTGCTGCCATCCTGACAAGTCTGAGTGTCAGACGATAACAAACACATTGTGCATGTATCCCAACAGCACGAGTGTGGATGTGGATTTAAAAAAGGAAAAGAAAGAATAAAGGAGACCTTACCAGGCAAACTTTATTAATCCACAGCAGTAAACAGTGCCTTTCTACTGTCAGTACTAAACTACCTCTGGTACTTCCACTCACACCTAGAAAACCAGATAACTTGAATTATATATTAACAAATACCGACATTAGAAACTTAAATAATATCATACAAAGTCTATTCTGAATCATTCCTGCAGAGGGAGCTGTGCCCCTGCGTTCTTCCTTTCAATAAGCACAGGCTTGGGTAAATATCTGCTGTTGGACATGCCAGGTTTCATACAAACACAGTCTGCATCTTCCATCAGAGTAAAACTGCAAAGTGAATCGAAGTCCAACTGGAGCGTCCGGCTCGTTTATCGTGCTGGTTCAACTGCAGGAGCGCACACACGCGCGCGCACGCGCACACACAGTGCTGTTAGTTTGGATGAACCTTACAATAATTCAAGAAACAAAAGAAGACTTGGTGTACGAGGAGATGTCTATCTCTTCCGGCAGCTCGCCGATGTTCACCTCGAAGCGGTCCTGGACATCGTTGAGCGTGCGGGCGTCACCTTCATCAGACACAAATGTGATGGCCAGGCCTTTCGTTCCAAACCTGCCTGCTCGAGCAACCTACACCAAGACACCAGTGCAGCTGACCACATTACTCAGTCAGGATCACAGACTACAGCACAGTAGGGCAAACTAATCACAGTACAGGATAAGTATAAGACAATATAGTATGGCTTTGATAGAAGCCCTCTCCGTGTTCTTCTGGCATAGGTTAATGTTAGTGAATAAATGCTGTCCCAGAGTATTTGATCTGCCTTTTCTCTTCCGTACCCGTGTTTGTCCTATGAAGTCCTCTTTCAACAGAAGACTTCCTTCCAGCCTGGGTGCAGGACAGAGACCCTCCTTGCCACTCTTGGGATAAGCTACTACCTGCTCAGCTGATTATAACATTAATAAATGCCTCACACCTGTGTCTATCTAATAAAGAGCTCAGATTTCTCAGCATCTCCTTAAATATGTATTTGTACATCATCCAATAAGTCACAAATATGACCTTGTGCAGCTTTCACATATATTTCTATTACTCTTTTAGCCTGTCAGGTGAACAACACATGGATAGTCTCACCCTGTGAAGGTAAGTGTCAGAGTCTTCTGGCATGTCATAATTGAAGGCAATATTGACTCTCTCAATGTCCATCCCTCGTCCAAACAGGTTGGTGGCCACCAGGATTCGCCTCTGGAAGTCCTTGAACTGCTGGTAGCGAGACAAACTACAGAGGACAATAAGTGAAGCTTAGTCTGTGTGTCACATATCCTCACATTGAAAGTTTCATTATGTGTGTATTGGGCTGCTGAGTTGATCAACATCCTCACAGTACTGTGCAAATGTCCCCACTCATGTCTTTACATTTTTTTCTCCCAATGACACAGACCTTCTTGGAATTTTTGAAGTGGTCTTGAGTAACAGCTCTCCAGCTTCCTGAAAGACTTTCAAAGTTTTTCTTGGACATCAGCTTTTTTTGAGTGTATTTATGGGATTTTTGGTCACCGACATCAGTCAGACACTGATGCTGGATGAGAAGGACTGGCTCGTAGTCTCCACTTTAATTTATCCCACAGGTGTTTGTGACAGGGTGTGGTTTCTGGCTCAGCTGCAGGGGAGGGGTGGAGCAGTGCTTGGAGGAGGCTGAAGGCCACAGCTGTTCCTCATTGTTCCACCTTGTCTTTCCCTATTTAAGTAGCACGCTAAGTCCATGGGTGTAGAGAGTGGAAGGCGCAGAGACAGAGGAGCAGCTGAGTGTACAGTCATGTGTTCTGTCAGGCAGAGCTAAGAACTCTGTGCAGGCCAGTCAAGTTCTTCCACATCAAAGCTGCTTATTTATATGGAGCTTGCTTTGTGGACTTGTTGATTATCTGACAGGAGGACCACAACGTGCGTCTTCAACATTGTGTGTCTGACAAGGTGATCGGCAACACGGGCACCACAAGGGACTGTCCTCTCCCCTTTCCTCTTCACCATCTACACCACAGACCTTTTACTTTTAGATGATCCTGCAGTGGTTGGATGCATCAGTGAGGGTGATGAGTGTTGGGCTGTGGTCGAGCAGAATCATCTGCAACTCAGCGTAGCAAAGACCAACCGATTTAGGAGGACCGGGAAACCTGTGACCCCTGTTTCAATCCAGGGGGTCGATGTGCAGGACTATAAATACCTCAGAGTACACCTGATAATAAATTGTAGTGGGTTAAAAACACCACTGCACTCTACAGGAAGGGCCAGAGTCGTCTCTGAGGTCTTCAACATCTGTCGGACAACACACAGGTGTTTCTATGAGTCTGTTGTGGACAGTGCTATCCTCTGTGCTGTTGCTTGCTGGGACAGCAGGTTGAGGGTTTCAGATGCCAACAGACATCCTGTCACTCGTACAGTTTCCTCAAATTTTTGTGAAGGACCCAATGCACACTATGCTAATATTTGTGGTCATCAATATGTATGGAAAGGATCAGGAGGTCCAACAGTGAGTGTCTACAGCCATCGGTAAAACAAGGTAGGGTGGGTGATGTTGTGGGGATGGAGCTAGACTTTAATAAGGTGGTGCCTGAGAGGCGGATGTTGTCCAAGGTCAGGACAATGCTGGACCTCCCACCCACTCATGATGAGCTGGTCAGTCACTGAGAGACTAAGATTACCCATAATGCACCACTAAAGGACACAGGAAGTCATTCCTGTCTGTGGATATCACTCTCCATCTAATGCACATCCTCTACAGTGAAAATAACAAAATTAAGTTTTACAGTAAAATGTCAGTTATATATATTTAATCTCTGTAATATTCTGGATATTTACAATTGAGTTATTTTATAATGGAGCTAAATCATGATAGTAAATGGTAAATGGACTGGTTCTTATAGAGCGCCTTTCTAGTCTGAGCGCTTTACACAACTTGCCTCATTCACACAAGCATTTTCTTCGATGCTGTTTCTATGTAAGTGCTTTCTTGCACACTGCCAATGCACTAAAACATACCTGGATATAAAAAACACACACAGGACAGTCAGTCATGGCCTCCCCAAACCTTTGAATGTCCTTTGGGAAGCCTGGAGAACTGCTCCTGAGTACTCATAAAGGAAGCTGTCTCAGAGAGATCAGACTGTGTTGAAGAATACCGGATTCTGGTTAATCTTGTCAGACCTGTACAGACTGTGTTTTAATGTACTATATTTCCTTTTACGGTATGTTTGCATGTTTCAATATATGACAGCACCATTGTCTTAACAATGGTTGGCTCAAGACTTTTGCACAGCACTGCATCTTAGAGCACACAACACCATAAGAACTAATGCTTTACCTAATATAAAGAATGACCTCACTTACCAGTAAAAGTTATGTTTGCGATGGTATAATCATCACAACGCATTAATTTAACAAAATAAAAGTGTCTGAGAGTGAAAAAAATAAAAGCCTCCTGCTTCCTTCTTCATAATATTATTATATAGTAGAAAGCATAAAGATGTGGGGTCCTTACTTTACAAAATAAAGTACCAACTGTTGTTGTGATTTGGTGCTATATAAATAAAACTGAATCAAATTGGCCACAAGAAAGAGACTGCAGCTGCATGGAGCTAAGCTCACTGTCAGCTGATTACATTTGAGCCATTTCCTAAAGGTTCACACTGAGCTTGCTATCCTCTGCCAAAAGAACAAGTAGAGTGAACACAACATGGCAGTTCAGTGTTGTCTGGAGTAATAAAATAGTAACAAACATTTATGGCGTCACCGCTCTCAGTTACCGTTCCACCTGAGGCATCCCTCGATGGATGGCAATCGCTGGAAAGTTCTGCTCCACAAGCAGCTGAGCCAGAGCTACACAACGCTGGACGGACTTCACAAAGATCACCACCTGAGCAGCACAGCGACACAATCACTCAGCTACAGTGGACATTAAGTCCTGTCGGCTTCCTGTGTGTGTCTGTTTCACTGTGTGCGCCCCTCGTCTGCACTTGGAGACAATCGATCATTAACAGCTATTTATTACTTTACTCTAAGTAGAATCAAAAAGTTTTCATGTAGAACAACACCAGGACAAAAGAGACAGAGAGAAACAGGACAGCACCGTCAGCCATGCTTTTTGACACTCACTAGCGCTCGACTTGTTTCTTTGTTCAGTGACAAGCTCGCAAACTGCACAAGCAGAACCTGTTGGATTAGCAGTTATGACACTGCTGTCCTGTTGGTTTCCTCCACGTTCTGTTAACTCTGCTGCTGACATGGTAACGACAGAACTCCAGTGAACTGCTGGCCCTGTTGTCAAATATACATGATTCAGGTATTAAAGTCTGTACTGGGCTGATATCTAACAAATACTGGGTGGGCGCACCCCTCACTCTGGTGGACCCTCACATACTCACATGAGCAAAGTATATTGTTTCCCTCGCTCCCTCACACTGAAGCATAGTAAGGCCTTTAAGAGGACCATTATACTTTTCTGTCTGTACACACACATACTGTACATATCTTATTAAGTATTTCTTTAACTAAATGTGAGGAGATGTCCTCTGGCACACAGCCTAACCCTAACCCTTCTTTCTGAGAGGTGTAGCCAATCAGAAGAAGAATAGAGCCTGGTTTCAGGAAGTTGATGAGCTGAGGGGTTGCACACAAGTAGCATAAATAACATTTATTTTGATCTTTGAAATAACTAATGCTTCTCTAGCAGGATCTGCAAGTGTGTCCCACAGTAACATGCTTGTAAGACATGAACATAAAACGCAGCAATCTAATTCCCATCAACAGAAAAGCAAACAGACAAAACAAAAATGTCCACAGGGGGGTTACACTGTGGGGAAAGTATGGTGTGGGTACCTGATTGAACTCTAGTGCATCCAGGAGATCGAAGAGCTTTCTGTTTTTCTCATTATCCTTCAGCTTGACGTAGTACTGCTGCAGCCCATGCAGAGTTAGCTTGGTTTCGTCATCTACAAAGATTTCCATCGGCTGGACCGGCAGGAGTTTGAAAGGGAGGTTGGCAAGATTCAGGGAAGAGCACACAAAGAGAACACCAATCATAATACAGTGGAAGTGAAAAGGAAGCAGCGAGGAGACGGAGGGAAGGCTTTGGTATAGGTAACACACACACACAGTTGTGTTTTCATATCTCTGTGGGGACATCTTATTGACATAATGCTTTCCCTAGCCCCTTACCCTAACCATCAAAGATGAATGCCTGACCCTCAGCCTACACCTAACCATGACCTAACTGTGACCCTCACACTAAAACAAGATTTTGAGCCTCGAAAATCCCTTCAAATTTGTGGGGACGGGAACTTTGTCCCTATAAGAGCTGTTAGTCCCCACAAGTATAGTAAAACTCCACTTTTTGGTCCCCAGAAAGATAAGTAAACACACACACTTCTTTCTTGTGACTTGGACTCATGGAGGCTGAACATCGACTTGGACTTTGTTACCCACTGTTCCAGCAGGCGAAGGAGTAGTGGAGGTGTGGAGGGAGCGGGAAGAGGCATGGCAGATGAAAGTGAAGAGGCGTATTTACATCTTGCATGAACTTTCTGCAGACTGGACGGATCTCTTTACTCAGGGTGGCGCTGAACATCATGACCTGCTTCTCGTGGGGAGTCATACGGAAAATCTCTTGGACATCTCTGCGCATGTCTAAGGAAGAGAGCATTATTTACAGCGTATTACAAACTCATCTAGATGCAGTGACTAAAGATTCAATAATGATGACTGAAGGCCCTTTCACATACGCACGCGCTGCACTCTGGAACCCATTTGTGTCTATTGTTTGTGCCACACAATAATGATTTCCCGCTGCACCGAGCAAAGCACAGCACATGCACACTTGTGACGTATTGTTGTGCGAGGAACAGAAACGAAGAGTACTGCTGCGCTGAGTTCAACCACATGATGAAGGAGAACATTCTGTACGTATCAGAGTTTGGTGAACTGTTTGCTGCAGGTTCTGCAGACCTCAGAGAGAAGCAGTGTTGTGGAAACAACACACTCTTCACCAGCTGGGATAGTTACAAAGTTTTCTTCTTTATGAACCAGCGATACATGTTTTTATCAACATTTGAACATAATAGGACACAAACTCTCCTCAGAGAAACACGTTTTGAAATGACAAGCAGTGAGTGCAGCGCACGGCCGATGTAAAAGGCCCTTCAAAAGAAAACATTTTTGCTTCACTTCGTACCAAATGAATTGTCAAAAACACCAAGAAATCTATGACATCACATTTGAAACAATTAATTCCTAAAGTTTTTGTACAGTATTGAACAATCATATCACCCAACATCTAAAACTGTTGTTACACTGAGAAAAATAAACCCTAAGAGCTGCTAAGTCTACGTAGGTTCTCGGTCATCCAGGTCATAGTAATCTAAGGAGCTATTAAACACATATGTAAGACTGCTTTCTTCCATGTGTGCAACATCTCTAAAGTTAGAAATATCCTGTCTCAGAGTGACGCTGAAAAACTAGTTCATGCATTTATTACTTCCAGGCTGGACGACTGTAATTCATTATTATCAGGAAGTCCTAAAAACTCCCTGAAAAGCCTTCAGCTAATCCAAAATGCTGCAGCAAGAGTCCTGACAGGGACTAGAAAGAGAGAGCAGATTTCTCCTGTTTTGGCTTCCTGTTAAATCCAGAATTCAAAATCCTGCTCCTCACATACAAGGTCTTAAATAATCAGGCCCCATCTTATCTTAATGACCTTGTAGTACCATATCACCCTATTAGAGCACTTCGCTCTCGCTCTGCAGGCCTACTTGTTGTTCCTAGAGTATTTAAAAGTAGAATGGGAGGCAGAGCCTTCAGTTTTCAGGCCCCTCTTCTGTGGAACCAGCTTCCAGTTTGGATTCAGGAGACAGACACTATCTCTACTTTCAAGATTAGGCTTCAAACTTTCCTTTTTGCTAAAGCATATAGTTAGGGCTATGGCTGAGCCATATTATACCGTTCATGGTATTACCGGTACAATGTTAGGCAACGATAAGAAAAGGAAATATCGCGATAGAATATGGGTAAAACGCGCATGCGCAGTTCCTTTGTTTTCATACGCACATGGCCGATTGTTGAGTGAAACGGATGAACCAGAATTGGTTTGTAAAAATGCTGCAACTTCAGTGATGTGGAACTGGTTTGGTGTTTGTCCCTCAGATACACAACAAAGCACATTTTTTTGTAGAACATGCAAGCGGGTCATCGTTATTGCCGTATTTGTCGGACTAAGATGCTCGTAAATCTGGGAGTAATCTGGGTCCTAAACTTTGTCCGCTTCAGGTCCCAAAGTCAAACGAACACTGCTGCATCACTGAGAGTTAAAAACTGTCTAAATTCTTTCATCTTTAATAAAACGATCAGCGTTGCTGCTTTACCAGGTGTAACTATGAAGTTTAACTTCCAGGCATCCATGAAAACCGAATTTATGACATTTAACAGTTAGAAGTTAGCAGGAAGTTAGCTCGCTAGTTACCTAAGCATGATATAGCATGTTCCGACTGAGAGATTTCTGAAACATTCAAACGTACAGCTCTGCTATCACTTCCAACATATATTAAGACAGGAAACTAAACAGCAGTGACGTTTGTAGGGTTACTGAAGTTGGGCTAGCTGGTATTTAACAATGATGTGCTACGTGATCGCTAGCGACACAGCTATGTTAGCATAACATAAACAGTGAAGCTGGAGGACGAACACTAACACTTTTCCACTTATAAAAGTTAACGCGAAGGTTCCTGATAGTTAGAGACAAATGCAATCGCATGGCAGGATGCTGTAAACGGACCAAACTTCAGTCAGGAGAACAACTGAGATAATCCATCCACAATACGAGGTTAGTCATTAATATACTGCAACAACATGGGAATAGAGCAGCTGCCAGAGAATTCAACATTAATGAATCAATGGTACAGAAGTGGAGGAAGCAAGAAGAATGAGTTTAATAAAGTTTGATTTCTCTGACTGCTTTGTTTTGCTTAATGTGTCTTATAATCCCGTGCACCTTATGGTCTGAAAAATACACATTAGACTTTTTTTATTTGGCACACTGCAGTTTAATGTAGCAAAGCACCTCTTTTTAACTTCAGTGGATATTATACATGGTTATGCTCAGGATATGTCAGCCCATATGTCAGCAAATTTGCATTTGCACTGTTAAATTTGTATATAGCTTTAATGCACATAAAAAACAGCTGCTTGTTTAAGTGAAAATAAATGGATGGTTTTTTTGCACTAGTAAAGTTGTGGAGTTGTATTTTGTCTCGCAGTAACTATATCATCAGTTATATCGTTATCACAAATTTTCAAATATATATCGTGATAAATATTTTCGGCCATATCGCCCTGCTCTAGTTAGGGCTGGATCAGGTGACCCTGAATCCTCCCTTAGTTATGCTGCAATAGGTGTAGGCTGCTGGGGGATTCCCATGATGCACTGGGTGTTTCTTCTTCACTCACTATGTGTTAACAGACCTCTCTGCACTGAATCATCCTTGTTATTAACCTCTGTCTCTCTTCCACAGCATGTCTTTATCCTGTCTTCGTTCTCTCACCCCAACCAATCACAGCTGTCGGAGGTTTCTTCCTGTTAAAAGGGAGTTTTTCCTTCCCACTGTCGCCAAAGTGCTGCTCACAGGGGGTCATATGATTGGTGGGTTTTTCTCTGTATTTATTATTGTAGGGTCTACCTTACAATATAAAGCACCTTGAGGCGACTGTTGTTGTCATCTCATACTGTATATATAAAACTGAACTGAAAGCAACTGGATTTCTTTAAGTTTCTTGAAGACGTTTCACGTCTCATCCGAGAAGCTTCTTCAGTTATAAAACAAAATGGTGGAGATTCCCAGGTATTAATCCTTAGTGGAAGTTGTCCCTTAACCTCTTAAGGCCCGAACTCTTTCATGGCATGCATTTTTAATTTTTCTTTGCTATTTGGGCCCACCCGATGGATGTAAAAACAAAGAATTCCCAGATTTTTTTTTTTATACCTGATTTTTGTTTCTGAGATAAATTAGATCCACATATGAGGACATTTGCTTTACATTTGGATAGAACAGTGGCAGTATAATGTCCTCGTAAGTGGATATCGGGCCCTTGTAAAACAAAATTTTGTATTTTGGTCTAGACAACCCAAAATGTGATGTCCACATATGTGGACGTCAGGTCCTAGGAGGTTAAGAAGGTTGTTGACCCACTATTTATCATGTCCCTCACCACACGTGCCATGGTGAGAAAAAAGGCGTGGATTATTATCGTCAGAGTTTTGATGCATGCTCAATCATCCAGGTAAGTAAATCCCAAAGGTTGATTCCGTTCACCTGGACATTTTGTGGGAGAAACGTTTCGTTACTCGTCCAAGTGACTTCTTCGGTCTCAGCTGACTGCAGGTTTCCAACCTTATAAACAGTACATTTACACAATGAGGGAAACTATTGGTGGGTGAACAATGGGCTGGGAGGTAATGACCATTAATCAAAGACCACTGATCAATGGCCATGAGTACCATTCACAGAGAGTTGGGGAATGGCTGCAATCACAGCATTGTAAGATGGTGACAGATGCACCCTTAGGCCCCTCCTCCATTCAGAGATGGTCTTTCCCTTTTCACGTAAATGGCCTCCTTGACTCCGCCCTCAAACCAGCGTTCCTCCCTGTCCAGGATGTTACATCCTCATCATTGAAACAGTGTCCACTGGCCTGTAGGTGTGCATAGACTGCAGAGTCCTGGCTTGACGAGGTGGCTCTGCTGTGTTGTAGCCAGAGGTTGTTTGGTTTCCCCGATGTATAAATCCTGGCAAACCTCCTGCACTTAACAGCGTACACTATGTTACTCTGTTTGTGTCGGGGGACACGATCCTTGGGGTGGACCAATTTTTGGCGCAGCGTGTTTTGAGGTTTAAAAGCCACAGAGACCCGGTGTTTAGAAAAAATGCGTCTCAGCTGCTCCGATACTCCTGACACGTACGGGATCACTACAGGTTTTCTCTTGGGCAGCGGTTGTCCTTCTCTCCTGGATCAGCTGGAGCTTTCTTTAGGAGCCAAAAGTCCAGCTGGGATAACCACACTTACTCAGGGCCTTCTTGATGTTCTTCTGCCTCCCTGGCTGCTGTGTCTGTGGGGATGGTGTTCGCTCTGTGTTGTAGCGTCCTGATGACGCCCAGTTTGTGCTCCAAATCACAGATGCCTCATTAAATTTTATTAGGGAAAGACTGATAGCCCTCAGTGTTTTATTAGATACCCTAGTGGTATCAATTTCACACCCCTATGTCGCTATGTCCTTGAGTTATCACTTCACAAATTTGCGTGTCCAGGCCGCCTGCCTCGCAGGGTTACGACAATAAAAGTAGCAGTTGTCATCAAAATAAAAGCAACAAAGTCATGCTGCATTTGTTTAGCTGCCCCCTCTGCCTCTACAAAGGTGGGAAGACGCTGGTGCCATGATCTTTCACAATCCTCCAAATTTATCTTTAACTGAGAAATTTGTTTCTTACGCTTTATTCTGTTTGTTGTCACACAAGCACAGCAGAGAAATCCACTGTGTACATTTAGATTTAGCTAGATATATGTCAGGGGTGCTCAATACGTCGATCGCGATCGACCAGTCGATCGCAAAGGTAGTATTGGTAGATCGCATGGCATTAAAAAAATAGATGCCAGCCTATCATCCATCCCGTCACTTGATTGATACAGGGAAGCCAGTAAGATGACATCAGATTTTTTCTGACGCTTAGGTCGCTGCGCATGCGCAAACAGCGGCGCGAAGTGTAGTAAAACTGACAAGCTAGTCAGCGAGTTAACTCCAATTTTTAGCTCTCCGTTTTTTCTCTTAAACCTGGCCGTCAGCAGCTACTGTCCGGACTATGCATCCCTGGCTGATTCAATTCAGTGCAAGTCATCAGAGTAAACTCAGGTAACGACAAAAAATTTACATAGTTAATTGTGTTGTGAAATATTGGATATTGCAGTTATGCATGTATATACATTGTAGATATAAAGAATCCTCAATATATTTATAAATAAGTATATGTTTTGGATTTTTGTAGTGGGTAGATCATTTTGACTTGGTCATTTTATAAGTAGCTCACATGCGGAAAAAGTGTGAGCACCCCTGATATATGTCATGTATACGTTACTGTTTATTCTCACACCAATCACACCCGCAGTACAATAACTTCTACCACCAGCACCTTGGCCTCGAGTTGTCAGCTGTCAAACACTTTATTATCCTGGGAAAAGAAAAGATGGATACCTCATGATCCTTATAAAAATCACACATTACAGGAAAACCACAGACTCATATTTACTGCTGCAAGCTCCCCAAGGGAGGCAGGAAACCTTCACACAATATGAAAGGAAACTGGACTCCATACATAAAAACCACAAAGCTACCACAGTGAGACCACAAAGCTAATGAGACAGAGGTTGGTTTGAATGTTATCTTATCCTCTTCTTTGTTTCTTGGTTTTAAACACTGGCACATATTTGGATCTGATTTTGCTTTAAAAAGTGGGTTGTGCCACTTACCAAGCTGCTCGAGCATCTTGTCACACTCATCCAGGATGAAATGTTTGATGTGACGCAAATTGAGCGTCTTGCTGCGCGTCAGTGCCAGGATTCTGCCTGGTGTTCCCACCACAATATGAGGAGAGTTTTTCTTCAGCTCCTCTTCATCCTTCTTTATAGACAGCCCTCCAAAGAACACTGCCACCTGCAGGAAAACAAGCATACATCATACTGTTTGAGCTGGGAGAAACTGATGTATGAGTTCAAGCTGCTTTACCTTAACAGTGGGCATGTACTTTGAAAATCTCTCATATTCCTTGCTGATCTGAAACGCCAGCTCTCTGGTATGGCACATCACCAGGACAGAGACCTGCACATAAAAATGGCAAAGATTAAGATATAGTATCAACTTAATTCACTATGGGATGTATTTACTGCACTATGGTCCTTGAAAACACGATGCATCTGTAAATCTGAATGTACACTGTTCTTTTTTCCCTGCACACTACTGCAAGTCTTTCGTTCAAACTCAAACAGCCCACAACTCTTTACCAAGCGTTCTGCCAAGTGGATGGTAATAATTAAGAGTGACTCAAACATTTTTTCTCTCATCTGGATGTTAGCAGTTGGTCAGTCAAGAGTTGTGAAAAGCCCTAATCACAACATCATGGAGTCAACTGACTCTGTGACTGCCAGGTAAAAGTCGGCATTTTACACAAAAGACACAACGCAATATCCTGAGTTTGCTTTCAGATTTGTTTTTGAGCCTGTTTATCTAGATATGAAGGCTCCACAAGTACAGAACAAATGTGCTCATTAGCTAAAAATCAGCTGTAAGTAGAATCTAAAATGAAAATAAATGCAGAAAAGCAATTAAATGACAGTTGTTACAATATAATAAAACACCTTTTAGCTCTGTCCTGGCTGCTACACCTCACCTGACCGGTGATGGGCTCTAGCTGCTGCAGGGTGGCAAGAACAAACACTGCTGTCTTCCCCATCCCAGACTTGGCCTGACAGAGCACATCCATACCCAGGATTGCCTGAGGGATGCATTCATGCTGAACTGGAAGGAGAACACATGAGCAGGAGAATTTCAGCTCATTCAGGATGCAGCAACCAGAAACCAGTACTCAAGCCATTTCTTTCACTCCCAGTTCAATGCAAAGTTACCTTTAAAATCCTTTAATTATTTCACAAAACTCTCTGTGGTTTGCCCTCCAGTATACTTTCTCAGGGTCTTTCAGAGTCAGAACTCTCAGGTCATCACATGCACATCTCTGAACTGTTCCCAGACTTAGGTCTACGGGTGCTTTCAGCATCTGTGGTCCTGTTCTTTGGAGCAAGCTGCCTGCTGACCTGAGGTAGGTTACAGTGGTTTGCGAAAGTATTGGGCCCCCTTGAACTTTCCCACATTTTGTCACATTACAGCCACAAACATGAATCAATGTTATTGGACTTCCAGGTGAAAGACCAACACAAAGTGGTGTACACGTGAGAAGTGGAACGAAAATCATACATGACTCCAAACATTTGTTACAAATAAATAACTGCAAAGTGGGGTGTGTGTAATTATTCAGCCCCTGAGTCGATACAATAAATAAATAAATACTAAATACTAAATACTAAATACTTTGTAGAACCAGCTTTTGCTGCAGTTTCAGCTGCCAGTCTTTTAGGGTCTGTCTCTACCAGCTTTGCACATCTACAGACTGAAATCTTTGCTCATTCTTCTTTGAAACAGCTCCAGCTCAGCCAGATTAGATGGGCAGCGTTAGTGAACAGCAGTTTTCAGATCTTGCCACAGATTCTGGATTGGATTTAGATCTGGACTTTGACTGGGCCAGTCTAACACATGGATATGTTTTGTTTTAAACCATGGCATTGTTGCCCTGGCTTTATGTTCAGGGTCGTTGTCCTGCTGGAAGGTGAACCTCCGCCCCAGTCTCAAGTCTTTTGCAGACTCCAAGAGGTTTTCTTCTAAGACTGTCCTGTATTTGGCTCCATCCATCTTCCCATCAACTCTGACCAGCTTCCCTGTCCCTGCTGAAGAGAAGCACCCCCCCCCCCAGAGCATGATGCTGCCACCACCATATCTGACAGTGGGGATGGTGTGTTCAGAGTGATGTGCAGAGTTAGTTTTCACACACAGCGTTTTGCATTTTGGTCTCATCTGAGCAGAGCAGCTTCTTCCACATGTTTGCTGTGTCCCCACATGGCTTGTGGCAAACTGCAAACGGGACTTCTTATGGTTTTCTGTTAACAATGGCTTTCTTCTTGCCACTCTTCCATGAAGGCCAACTTTGTGCAGTGCACCACTAATAGTTGTCCTGTGGACAGATTCCCCCACCTGAGCTGTAGATCTCTGCAGCTCGTCCAGAGTCACCATGGGCCTCTTGGCTGCATTTCTGATCAGCGCTCTCCTTGTTCGGCCTGTGAGTTTAGGTGGACGGCCTTGTCTTGGTAGGTTTACAGTTGTGCTGTACTCCTTCCATTTCTGAATGATGGCTTGAACAGTGCTCCGTGGGATGTTCAAGGCTTGGGAAATCTTTTTGTAGCCTAAGCCTGCTTTAAATTTCTCAATAACTTTATCCCTGACCAGTCTGGTGTCTAAATCCAATCGAGAATCTGTGGCAAGATCTGAAAACTGCTGTTCACAAACGCTGTCCAGCTAATCTGGCTGAGCTGGAGCTGTTTCAAAGAAGAATGGGCAAAGATTTCAGTCTGTAGATGTGCAAAGCTGGTAGAGACAGACCCCAAAAGACTGGCAGCTGCAACTGCAGCAAAAGCTGGTTCTACAAAGTATTGACTCAGGGGCTGAATAATTACGCACACCCCACTTTGCAGTTATTTATTTGTAAAACATGTTTGGAATCATGTATGATTTTCGTTCCACTTCTCACGTGTGCACCACTTTGTGTTGGTCTTTCACCTGGACGTCCAATAACATTGATTCATGTTTGTGGCTGTAATGTGACAAAATGTGGGAAAGTTCAAGGGGGCCCAATACTTTTGAAAGCCACTGTATATGTATGCCTACGTTCAAAAACAGGCTTAAAACCTTTTTATTCTGACTGACCTACAATGAGACTCAAAATGTGGTTTTAGTGTCAGGGTTACAATTAGGATGTAGTTAGGCATTCATTTGTCATGATTAGGGTAAGGAGCTAGGGAAAGCTCCATGCACTTGTGTCTTCACGTATTGATTATTGTAACGCTCTTCTTTCTGGGCTATCAAAGAAAAGTTTCAGAGGTCTACAGATGGTGCAAAATGCAGCTGCTTGCATTTTAACAAGAACTGGGAAATTTGAGCACATTACCCTGTGCTGAGATCTCTTCATATGTTTTTTGTTGTTGTTTTTTTGCACCATTTCCAAGCACTTTGTTCTCCAATGTGTGCCTTAGTCTTGTTTTGTACATATTCCTCTAGACTGTACATATGGCTATGTTTGCCATTTATTCCTGCTCTCTATTTACATTTTATTCCAGCACAGCTGGTGTGGAGCGCCTATACATTTGTTGTACAATGAATGGCTATTCTATTTAGCTGTTTTCACTGTAGGTTTACAATGATTTAGATTGTAAACTGTGGTGGGGCGTGGCCTGCGGTGCCGTGCGGATGCACCCTGCCGTGCCACATCCTGGGTTTCGGCACCAGTGTGGTGGAATTAAGGCACGGCGGTACCGCAGATCTGTGTTTTGAGCCATTTTTATTCAACATTTGTCAAACCACCACAACCCCACCAACCCCTGAGTCCCCATGTTTTAACATGGCGGGCTTGACTGTGGATGCCGTGCAGGTGCATCCGCACAGCACCGCAGTCCACGCCCCACCACATAAACCTACACAGATTTTCATGCTTTTATCTTCTGTGTTCAGCACATCGAGTTTGAGCATAATGAAATGTGTTATGTAACTAAAATTACCATTGCCAACACACCAACCCACCACAGCTCTGTAAAAGGAGGAACTAATCTTTATCAGACGCTTCAAATACAGAGAGAAGATAAAAAAGTGAATAAAATCAGCAGCGGTTGTACCAGTTCCCAATTTTCCTCCTGGCACCAGTTACTCACCCTCAGACGGATGTTCAAACCCACAATCCACTATGGCTCTCAGCAGTTCAGGTTTCAGTAGAAAGTCTCTGAATCCAGAGGAGTGAATGGACACATAGGAGCCCTTCACCCCTTCCTTCCTTATCGACATGTCACTTGCACCTCCAACATCTCCAACATCTCCAACCCCTCCGGCCTCCACCTCATCATCTTCATAGTCCAACAGCTCGTTATCTACGTCGTTTTCTGTCATCCTGACCCTGCTGCGAAACAAGAAAAACAAATAATGTGTATGAAACTTCAGGAACAAAGAGCTTTTAAACTTTTGCAGTGCTAGAAGGTTCAACATGGCCAAAAATTATTGGAGTCAGCATGTGTGCAAATAAGAGCCAGCAGCTTAGACTTCAGAAGGTTGGGCTTGTTTTACTCCTGGTTCGGAGACGTCAGTCAGAGCAGATGTCCTTAATCTAGCTATCTCAAGCTCATGCTCTGAGTGCAGCAGCCCAATCCCACCTCCCAAAGTCAAATCCTAATCAACTTCAGCTGCCACGATTACGTCGACTATCAAAATCATCGACGACTAATTTAACGCGTTATTTAAAGCTTTGCAAGATCCCAAAAGACACAGGAATAAGTAGTAGGATTTAAGAGTGTAATAACGGACTGAAACAGAAGATGGTAGCACTGCATGCACAAGGATGCCAGCTGCCGTTAAACCCCAAAGAAGAAGAAGCTGTGTCCAAATTCAGGGGGAGCATCCTTCGGAGGCCGCATTTGTGAAGGCTTTCCAAATACAAAGACTTCTGCAAATGCAGAGGGGAGGAGCTCTGCTGTCTCCAAACTGTGGAGTAGAGCGGATAGCTGTGTACATATATACATATACATACATATATACATACATATATATATATATATATATATATATATATATATACACATATATATATATATATATATATATATATATATATATATATATATACATGTATATATGTATGTATGTATATATATATATATACACACACATACATATATATATATATACACACACACGGTTCGATATTTTTTCGATACAAAAAAAATGTTCAAGCATTTTTAATTTGTCATTTATTAAAATTATAAATATATATTTTAACTCAAAAGTACAGTTTTTAAATTTAACCCTAACCCTTGTGCGTGTTTTTTATTTTGACAGCGAATGCGCACCTGCGGACCACTTATGTGCAGCCCTGGTTATTTAGCTCGTCATATTGCAGCCACAGAAATTCTTTTGTCCATGAAACCATAAAGCTGCACTTTCTTTTTGCCTTATAGTCTGATTTGTCATAACTTCTCCGTTTTGTGGTAAGCTTTTCTTTGGCTGTCACTTCTTCACCCTGACCTGTCTTATTTGGCTCAGCAGAACTGAAATATATATCTGTCTGTGAAGGTTCTCAGTCATCCAGGTCATCGTAGTCAAATATATATCCTGCTGCTTTTACACGCACTCACATAAGCTCAGCGATTCTCTGCGCGATCAACCTCTCACATGTTTAAGCTGCGGGAGATTTCACTTGTCATGTTTGCATAGTAAGCTAACGATTAATAAGACAATGTCAGAGGAATTGGTGCACAAATTATCATCACTCACAGATCAGTGCTGTCGCTCTCTATACACAGTTCACGCGATTGCAAAGTGAAAGCAAAAAAAACAAGCGCAAATTCAAACGTGATTTCAATATGTCACATATTGACAGTGGCTCACCGATGCCAATGACATAATTACCCAGCTACATTTCTGAAAGAATGCAAAAGCATTGACATATATTTTTCCTTCCTACAATAGCCGGACGGGCAGGGCAGAGATAGATTTTGGTAGCCCGACTGAAAAAATCGCTAGCTCCGGGACGTCGGGCTAGCGATATTGCGAGCCCTGTATCTGATTGAGGATCACTCATCTTTGGAAAAGAGAGTTTATTACAGAGAAATGTCTCTTTCCAAAATAAAAGCTATACTATCCGCTTCTTCTGGGCTATATTCTCAGCAGCATATTAAACATATCAGGTCTCCATAAGGAGAATCATGTGCTAACAGCTGTCTAAATGACTCTGCTAAAGTTAGTAGCATGCTTGTTGTTTTGGTCTTTGCACTAGGATGATGTCGGTGTAAATGTGCAGTCATATTCGTTGTGTTCCCACTAGTGCTTTCAGGTTAATCTCGTTGAAATGACCTTAACGCCACAACACGGCAAATCTCCGTTAACGAGCTACCGCCGATCGCTCCGTGCATGGGGCTAGACGGCCAACACGTTAACGAGCTAACTGCGCTAACACACTAGTTCACACCAATGTAATTGAGCATTGCATGGCACATCCAACATACTGTTTTACTTTAGTCCATGACTCGCTTACCTTCAGGGTCATACGTCACATGAAAACCAAAATAATTCCAAACGCCAGATCTGAATGAGGGTGGGGGAGGTTCATGTTGTAAGGGGAGCTTAACTTCTGTCTCGCTAGCTTGCCCTGCGCTCTTCCTTCTGACTATGCTGTCTGTGTTGAGCGCTCAGTGGATCTGTGCTGGACAGTGCAGCCTAGGCGGAGTAGTCGAACACAGATTCACTGAGCGTTCAACACAGACAGCATCGTCAGAAGGAAAGCTGATAAAATAAATTACAAATGTTGTATTGTTCGATACATATGCGTACCGAACCGAAAGCACTGTATCGAACGGTTCAATATCGATACGAATATCGTTGCACCCCTAATATATATATATATATATATATATACACACACACACACATATCACTGACTTTCAGCTTGTTGTGTTTGTGGATATATGACTGACTTTAATTATTAAACATTCGCACATAAATAAGTGACGTCATATTCAGCACTTTTGACAGTTCACTCTTCGGCCGCTCCATCTTATTAGGGAAAGTCCACATACATAAATGTAAATTTCAAAACTCAACCCCATCATTTAATTTGTTTTTGATTGAAACTGAATATTACTTAAACTCTCTTAAACTTCCAATAAAAAAGGTTTATCATTGATTGAAGTTCATTCAGAAATGTTTAACGAATGAGCTGTCACAACTTTCAAGTACAAAGTTGTTATGAAGTCTGTCACATTCCCCCCTTTTTTTCTTTTTTATCCTTTATTTAATTATCCTTCTTATTTCATTGTACTGTATATTGTTACTCTTATTTGCCTTGTATGTCTACTGTACAAACTGAACTGGAATGACTGACTGTTCGCTTTATAAGTTCAATAAAGTTTGGAAACAAAAAAAACCTCTTCGGCCGCTCCCTTCTGCCGTATTTTGCGGCAAAATTATCCACACCCACTGCCGCGCTATGAATTGTGGGATATATGGGACCACGAAGTGTGCACCGGACCACGCTTGATATTTGGGGAAATCGACGGCGCATTTGGAGTATGCATTTGAAGTGCACTTCGAATTGGGACAGCCGTCGTCGCGTGGCGGTGACGTAACCGCACTTGAAATGCGTACTTCAAGCGTGCAGACCCTGAATTGGGACACAGCCGATGTGATGGGTTATCCTTGATGGAGATGAGTGTGACCTCTGACCCTCACTGACTCAAACACCTCCAAATTCTGACCAAAGATGCTTCCAGGCTTTTGGATTAGTGTTTAAATCTTGCTGGCAGTGATGCTGCCCCTTCAGCAGACAGCAGCAGAATAGATGCACTCTCTACCACAGGATGTTAGAAGATCTCCAGCATCTTGCTGCACACATTAAAGGATCTGAGCTTCCTTAGAAAGTAGAGTCAGCTCATCCCCTTCTTGTACACAGCATCACCGTTGGGCCTTCAGTCCAATCTGTCATTCAGGTGACTGTGGTAACCCTGTATTACTAACCACCACATCAGACAGGTTGGCCCACAGCCGTACAAACTGAGGCCTCTCAGACAGATAGTGAGGAATACAAGATACAGCAGAATGGATCCATCCTGGGTTGTATCCGCAGCTCATGGTGTTGCTGTAGTAATGGCCTGGAGGATAATTTCTTGGCATGGTTTGTGGCCCTTAGTATCAAATGAGCATTGCTTAAATGCCACAGCCTGCCTGAGTACTGTTGGTGACCATGTCCACCCCTTTGGGGGATAGCACACCATGTCACAAAGCTCAGATAATCTGAGACTGGTTTTTTGAACATGACAATGAGTTCACTGTACTTAAACGGCCTCCACAATCACCAGATGTCAATCCAATTGAGCACCTTTGGGAGATGGTGACAAATCTGCAGGAACTGTGTGATGTTATGATGTCCACATGGGCCACAGTCTCTGAGGAAATGTTTTCAGCATCTCGTTGAATTGTTGGTACAAAGAATTCAATCAGTACTAACAAAGTGTACAAAGGTTACAAAGTGTTTTGAGTGAAAGCAGAATACTGGTACTGTCACACTGGTGCCTATCCCAGCTGTCTTAGGGCAAGAGGCAGGGTACACCCTGGACAGGTCGCCAGTCTGTCACAGGGCTAACACATAGACACAGATAACCAATCACACTCACGGGAAATTTAGAGTTTCCAGTTAACCTAACCCCACTAACTGCATGTCTTTGGATTGTGGGAGGAAGCCGGGGTACTCAGAGAAAACTCACGCAAACACGGGGAGAACATGCAAACTCCACACAGAAAGACCTCGGCCTGATGGTGGAACTGAACTCAGGACCTTCTTGCTGTGAGGCAACAGTGCTAACAACTGTGCCACCCTGCAAAATTTATTTATATTGCATAGATGAGCAAACATGAGCACATTACCCCTGTTCTTGCCTCCTTACACTGGTTGCCTGTCCATTTTAGAATTCATTTTAAAATTTTATTGCTTGCTTTTAAAGTCTTAAATGGCCTGGCTCCTTCTTACCTGTCAGACCTTTTACACCAATACACTCCACAAAGGCCTCTCAGATCATCTGACCAGTCACTCCTTGCTGTCCCCATGTCGAGACTGAGACACCGAGGGGACCGAGCTTTCGCTGTTGTGGCCCCCAAACTATGGAACAAACTGCCCCTCCATATTAGGCTGGCCCCAACACTTGAAATGTTTAAATCACTTTTAAAAACACACTTTTTTTCAAAGGCTTTCCAGGAGTATTATCAGAGTCAGTTTGTAGTCAGTTTTTAGTCAGCTGTTGGTCATTCTTAATCTTTTTACTTTGTTAATCTTATTCATATTGTTTATTCTACTCATGTTTTGATATTTAATATATACACTGATTTATTTTTATCTTCTTTTTCAATTATATATTTATTTTGTTTATTGATTTCATTGTATGCTTAATGTATGGTTTTTAACTGCTATCTCTGTTTTATTATTGGAAAGCACTTTGGTCAACTTTGTTGTTTTTAAAGTGCTATATAAATAAAGTTGGATTGGATAAATGCCAGAATAGAGGTGAGTGTCTAACATGAGGCACCAACTTTTACAGCAGGCTAGAATTTCTATAAGGACTCCAGTGATGTCCACCACCTCAGTTTGAAGACATGAATCAGTCCACTGTGCTAAAAATCAATTGCCTGGTTTCATTTTGAAGGAATATTCCAGAACTTTTATTTTTATTGTCGCTGAATATTAAATAGCTATAACCACACACGCAGTTATGGTTTGACTTTTGAAAGTTCAAATCCAGCAATACTGATGTCTTTAAGATTTCTTCATCACACTGCAGATCATTACCGACATGAAACTACGGACGCCATAAAACTGGGACCATCCCTGATCTCTGTTATTTACTCGAGCTCGTCTGATATTATGGCAGCTCACGTAAACACAGCGCACATGAGTGGCCGTTTTAGCAATAACCGTAAAAGCAAATCCCAAGTATTCTAAACAGCTAGCTGTCATTAGCTCAGCGGCTAACAAACAACTCATCACATCTCACTGGAACATCTCACGGCTCAACATTAAACTTCAGAGAGGTGACAGTCATGTTGCCGCAGGTACTGATAACGTGCACTGCCTACAGTTCTTTTAATAATCGACATACCTTCACTACGAGAGAGATAAGTCAACGTCTGTTTAAAGTAAAGCGCGATTGTTAGCGCGTCACAATGACGTGTAGAATGCGACGGACAACCAACCGCTGTAGGACCCCACGGTGTGTAACCATGCAGATGCCAGGCTGAAAGTAACAACAGGGAGTCTTTGCTATAAACCGCGTCTTGTTTAGATTGCCAACCCTGTAAAGACATTGAACGGTAAGTCATCAAAGTGTTTTGTTAAAGCTGAAGGCTGACGACGAAAGCTGAACACATGGTTAGTTGACAGTTGCGGATTTGATCGATCTTCACGTGTTCAAGTGCCACGCGCGGTGTTTTGCTCCAGCGAGTGTTAGACAACAAAACAACATTACCGCTTTAACTTATTTTGGAAGGTAAGCTCTAAAATATGTATCGACAAAGCAAAATAAGTCAGTATAAATGTTTTATTCGATTCCATTTTACAGTTATTAATGGTATCAAAATGTATAACAATAATACTTCGCATGAAACAGAGATGTCGTGTTTTGGTGGTGGTCCGAACTTCTGCCCAGAGTGTGGGAATGTTCTTCCTCTCCCAGGAATACCGGACGTAGTGTGCTGCCCCGGCTGCTCCTTTAGGATCCCTGTATCAGGTAAATTCCATATCAGAGTTTATGTGTGAGCATGAGCAGCAGAGATTTTGCTGCTATCTCACTTTTTGTTTTTCTCATTTCGCTTCCATCTTGATATTCCTGTGATATTTATACAGCCTGTACAAATGAAGTGGCAGAGCAGCTATCTGAGAGCTATCTGCTGTCCATCTTTGGATCATTTTAGTTTCTTGCAGCAAGTGATTGTATTTTTATAAGCTCAATATACAGTATTGTGGCAAACGGATTCACTCACTCATCCAAATCACTGAATTTGGTGTTTCAGTCACTTCCATGGTCACAGGTGAATAAAATCAAGCATCCAGGCATGCAGCCCGCCTCTACAAACATTTGTGAAAGCATGGGTCGCTCTCAGGAGCTCAGTGAGTTCCAGCATGGTAACGTGATAGGATGCCACTACATGTGGCCTTCAGATTAAATCAGAACAGTGTGCAAAGAGCTTCATGGGATGGGTTTCCGTGACCACCAGCTGCATCCAAGCCTTACATCACCAAATGCAATGCAAAGTGCTGGATGCAGTGGTGTAAAGCACGTGGACTCTAGACCAGTGGAGACCTGTTCTCTGGATTGATGAATCACGCCTCTATTTCTGGCTATCCGATAGATGAGTCTGGGTTTGGTGGTAGCCAGGAGAGCGGTTCTTATCTGAATGCATTGAGCCAAGTCTAAAGTTTGGTGGAGGGGGGGTTTATGGTGTGGGGTTGTTTTTAAGGATACTGCACTGATAACACATTAGTGAGTGATAAGTGCACAGATGATTTCTTCTCTGCTTATTCAGAGTTCTCAGGTCAGGAGATCTATTCTGCCGTGGTGTTTAACCCTGTGGAGCAGACGGCTGTGTCTCAGGATGAGGAGGACTCTGAAATGAAGGGTGCTGTGGTAAGTGCTGCCTGTTTGCTGCCTGCTGAGTGTACTGCATGATGCCAACAGCTCTGTGTGCTACTAATAAGCTCTCTGCTTCCTGTAGATTGACAGGCGCTGCTCTCGTTGCAACAAAGAGGGTATGATTTACCATACCAGGCAGATGAGGTCTGCAGATGAAGGACAGACAGTCTTTTTCACCTGCACACACTGCAGGTAATCATCATGAGGTCACCATATGTTGCTGCTGTTGTGATTGTTTGCTCATCGTTTCATTTTGTCATTGTAGGTATCAAGAGAAGGAGGACTCCTAAGAAGAGGGTCCTTTGCATCTCCCCCCTCCTGCTTACTCAGCTATTGTTGAAGACTGCACAAAAACCAGTTTAAACAGAGCTTACAGTAACCTTTATTTTAAACTTGAGTTTGTACAGTTAGGATTGAACAACATTTAAGTTTATGTGACTGTTGTACAGCTGACCACGTCAATAAAAACTTATTAAAGCAGCATTCCTGTTTTTCTCTTTGGCTGCTTGGATGCACAGCGCTGATATATAGTCGGCAGAAAGTTGTGTGTGAATAAACTCAAGCAGGATTTCAGCAACACCATATTCTTGTCCTGATGGAGCCCCCACTAATTCATGTAACTGAATCAGAACAGGTGAAGCAATATTGAAATGTATCAGCTTTATTTTGTACAGGTTTTTTTTCTGCACTAAATAAACTTTGTATATTGTTTAGGTGATCAAAACAAACAAATGTGTGCTTACAGCTAAATGTATCCATATTTAATGCCTTTTAGGTTTCTAGTATTTAACGTCTGTCTATGAGCTGACACAGCTAACCTGGCCTGTTTGGCTGAAGGTTGCAGCAGATACAGGAATAATGTCCATAACCAAAGACATCAGTAACAACTCTGACTGAGACCACTTAGGGCACTGATTGAAGGAATCAAGGGCGTAGATTTGGTTTTGGCGTTGGTGGGGACGGATGATTCAGCCACCGAACCCTGCCCTGTTTCCTTTTTTTCCTTTTTGTCTTTGCTTCTTGATAAAAAAGGAGAAATTTACTTGCCTACACATGCTATTCTACATGCTTTTAAACCATTTAAAATCACAATTCATAGTTTTACATGTGAATGATATAATGTTAAATTACTATTTAAAAAAATGACTGACTAAGTATTTTAGACTTTAGTTTACTTCAGTCATATTCCATATAAATCAGGTATCATACAAAAATAAAAATAGCTTCAAATAGAGTCATGACAATAAAAGAATATGACTTTAAGACTTAACAGCATTACTTCAGTTACACCAACATCTCTGATACATCAGCACTAAGGGAACACTGAATGACCTGCTGGTTTCTGTCCATAAAACTACTCGTCTAAGATTAACACAGAGTAAAAGATCTCTCAGCAAAATTATGCAACATTTTAGGCACTATTGCCCCGATTAACTCGGTGAGCTGGGACTTTTTATTCTCAACATGAACTACTGTTACAGCTACTGGTGTCCCACACAACAACTCAATGTCCACTATGTGAAGCAGCCAAACACAGGCCTGCTCCTCTCACTAACAGAGATAAACTGCTGACATGTTTGTTTTACATCTATACTGTCCAGTCTGTCCTGGTGGACACACAGCAGCATTGTTTAATCTCATTTGAGTCATTGTTGACCTTAGCCATGTTTTTAGTCTTCTGAGAGCACTGAGGCTTCTTTCAGCCTCAGTACCTGCGTTTTATGCTCAGATTACAATTATTATTCTGTGCTTGATGGGCCTCACCTTTGGCCCTGGCTCCTCCCCTCTGACTGCACTAGGACATATTGCCACCTGATAAAATAACACATGATTCGTGCCATATAAAAAGTGAGACATGTCAATTCAGATTCTTTGTCAAACATACACTAATGAATCAATTTACATCAGCAGCCTAACAACTGTCATGATAATAAATACTAGTTAATCTATAGCACCAAATCATCAGTCACCTGTGAGCTCGCCTCTTCACCTCTGTCTGAGCTACAACATGGCAGAGCTGCCTCTGTCACCTGATCAATAACAGTGAGACACTCCACATACATGCAGTCACACATGTGCTTCAAATACAGTCATGAACCAACAAGTCATCATTTCACCTGTGATCTTGTGTCACCATTGCTCTCTGAGCTTTGTGTTGCTTCTTCTGTCACCTGACAAATAGGACAAACATGACAATAAGAATAAAATGTGCAGCTGCTTCAGTGTTTCTGTCAATTTGTGCAGATCTTGACTCATCAGTGATGTTTGTAGGCTGAGTGCATTTTTAAAACAATTTGTGCAAACTGCACTACAAGGTGGAATATTTGCAAAATCATGACTACCTCATGATATATTGTCTCAAAAATTAACCCTATGAATATGTCAGTGCCATTAGGATGAAATTTTAACATTAGATGTATAACTTTAACAGCCTCTGTGAACTAATATCCTGGCTTGCCCGAGGCTGCCATTTTCTCTGACAGTTTCAATTAAAATTAGAAATGCTGCTCTGAGACTGAGAGAACTAACAGTGCTGCATGTTGTGCAGTTAGTTTCCCAAACATGTTATTCATGGTTACATACAGTTTTAGACTGATGTGGGCCAAAGCCTGGCATAGCCTGTAACGTTATTATGATGGACACATTTTATGAGTGAGCTTGACTTTAAGCGACTCACAGGTTTCTTTGAAAAACACTTTCTTATATCCAGGTTCTTCCTTTTTGCTGCCGTCCTCCTCTCCTCCTGGCAGCGCAGGCTTGCAGCTGCTAAAACTAAACAGAGCTCCCTGAATGGCACAGCCAATCACATTGGCCATATTTGTTACATTAGGTAGGACTCCAGTAGAAGTAATTTAACTCTTTCTGCACCGCTGGTTGAATGAGACGCTGACAGTTTTCCCCCCATTCTATCGCGTTTGTTTTTTTTACTCGAAGAGTTTAAATTATTGGTGGGGACAATTCAATAATTGCTGGATATTGGTGGGGACATGTTCCTTCCGTCTATGCCCTTGGAAGGAATTAATAAACATAACATGACCAGATAATGTGCGATTGAATACAAGGAGTCTTTTCACCTGGATTCAAATATGAAAGTTTGTCACATTGTTAATCAAGTATATAACCGCCCCTTCTAATTTTCTTCTATAATTAATGATTTTTCGCCATCTGCTGATCACAAATCAGGATTGTGTGCAGGTGATTAACAGAAATGTAGGACAAACTACCCCCACATAAACTAAAAGGTGTCAAATGAAAGGAAAATAGGGTCACAATATCTTTTATTTGCAATAACATTTTGTTCTTGAAACCTTTGTTTACAGTTGTCACTCTGTGAAGGTATTCAGAGGACAACTGAAGAGCGTTTCTTTGCCTTGAGACACTGGTGCGTATCTTCTGCAGTTTGTTTTGCTCAGCAGGACATTTCTTCTTTGTAAGAATGTACAAGCTCTCTGATAGCTTTATTTTGTTGGCCATCTTCACTTGTGTTGACATTGAAGACTTTAAATGAGCTAGCTCTTTATTACAAAAATGACTTGTGTTGGGCATCAGACAGTAATATTTGCTTTGATTCTGGCCAAGCTCAGGTTGGAAGACAGAGCAGCTTTGAAAGGTATAAGTGCAGATTGGATTATGTGTGGATTATACCTTTGTAAGATCTGTATCAGCTGCTTTACAGCCACAGTTAAGCCTCAGTTTCCTGGGGGTTTATCAGGGTATGCAAGCGCTTGTTCCAAAACGGAGACAGTATGGAGAGATATTACCTTTACCCTACCCTGAGTATTAGACAACCTATTCTCTCATGCTAGAGTACTAGCATACGCTAGTGCACTCACTTACTGGATATTTGAACACTTTGGTATAAGTTACTCACTAGTAACTTATATAAAAAAAAGTTACTACTACTACTACTAATAATAATAATACATTTTATTTATAAAATGTCTTTCAAGATACTTAACAATAGAATAAAACACGTAATAGAACAAAGACAAAATAAAGAACAATAAAAACAAAAGCACAAGATAAAATAAGAAACAGACAAACTAAGTCCACAAACAAACTAGTCCACAAGGATGGGCGTAATTAACAGTTCATATTCCAGATCCTTGTCTAACTGTACTTTAATATACAGAGAGTGGTTTTATTATACAGCCTGCCTTCATTTGTATAACTGGGTTGTGAAAAAGAAGAAGAAGAAAAAACCCAGCATAACACAACACTGTTGAACAGAACAGCAAACTGTAAAATGTCCAACATTTTGACTCGAGTCTTCCGTAAAATACAGGTTTTACCACAATACAAATCCACTTTGTAATTTTACAGCATCTTTTTAAAAAATTTCCCCGGATGTCAGCGTTTCCAAACTAAATGCAGCAGGCGGCGACATAGCACCCTTCTAATAGTACGATCTCAATTAAAAGCAACAGAAGAAGAAAACGACCAATGAGAATTTTCCTGTTCAGGTCACATGACCTGGAAACATGGCCGCTTCAGAAAGCTGAGAAAGCTATCGAGCAATAACAATTACTTTGAACAGCACAAGTACTTATCTATAGGAAGACGGCGGTTTACTTTACGGTAAAATAGCTTTTTATATTTGTATTCACGTGGTAGCTTTGTGTGGCTCAGCTGTCCTGGTTATAGTCCAGTTATACACGCAGAATACACATGTGCAGAAATAAAGCTGGATCCACAGAATACGGAGTCTTCCGTCAGATACTGTCAGTGTCTGACAAAACGGCTGAAGCAATTTTACATTTTTGTGTTTCTAAAGGAAATCTGGGAGCCTCGTGGGTATGAAGTAGCTTTACCGCGTTTGCTGAAGTTCCTCTTTGCTGCTGGAGACCATGAAGCTGCGTGTCCAGCTGCAATGCAAGAACCTGCATGAATACCTGAAGGAGCTGAGTCCGGAGATTTTGGACAGACTCTACAACCACCCAGCGACATGCCTGGCTGTGTACAGGTGCGTGCCTGTGACTGGTTCTTTTTTGTTATATAGAAAGTGTTGAGTGAATCTTCTTCCCTGTTTTTTTTTATGTGTTTTGATATTTTACAGGGAACTCCCCTCTCTAGCAAAGAATTATGTGATGCGCATGCTGTTCCTGGATCAGCCTCTCCCCCAGGCAGCTGTGGCATTGTGGGTAAAGAAAGACAGTCAGAAGTAAGTTGCCTCTGTTGTTCTGTTTGTCCGCTGTGTTGTCAGTCAAGTACAAAACTACTCTGCTGATTCTCATGAAAATAGAAGAGTTAGAGCATGGGCAAAATAACAACCTGCTAAACTTTGGTGCACATCACTGGTGGCTGATGCACGACAAACTCCAAAGTTTTGTTTTTTTCATTAAAATCACAGTAAATTTCTAAATAGCTCTGTAACACACTGGTCCTGTCAGCTGATGACCCCAGCCTGGTAGGTCTGAGCAGGAGAGCCCCTGTTTTTATGCCTCAAATATCAGCCTTGTGTCAGTGCCCTTGTTTTCTGCTTTTAAACTTTTTTCCTCATTGTTTAAAACTCATTTGAAACATTTGTCAGAGACTAAAATGAGAGCAGGAATTGTTGCCAAAGAGTCAGCAGCCTGTTTGGTTTGTGAAGCAATTAACAGCTTAGCAGAAGATATTAAAAACAAGATAATGGTAACTGCCATGAATTTATTAGAAGTTTGTTACACTTTTATGTTCCTCGTGTGTGGCTTAGAGGTGTTTCCTAAATGGTTGAATGTAGATTTAAATTTATTCTCTTCATTGTGCTCTTTGTCCCCTTTGTATGTTTGGTTCTGGAGCGGCAGGTGACCAGCATAACACATGGTGCAGATCATTTAACTGCATGACTCGCTGTTCAACCCTGTGTCTGCCTCATGAAGTGATTGATAACTGTCAGGTGTGCTCTGTCCTTGGATGGCGGAGCATCCCTGTGTCTCTGAAACAGGAAATAAGTTTTCTTCAGTGTTTGCAGTTTGTCTTTGACATCTTCAGGGGACTGCACATTTCAACGTGATAACCAGTTCTGTTCATTGTTTTTTGTCTTTGCCTTCCTCCTGCAGGGACCACGATGAATGTGTCTCAGTGTTGGCTGGTCTCCGCCTCTGGCACAGTCAGCAGCTGCAGGGTGGTCTGCAGGGATACATTTTAAATCCGGTGTTTAAAGACAACCTGAGGACAGCTTTGCTCGGGGGGTATGTCTGCCACTGTGAAAATACCGATTAGTCATGGGGCTGCAGCATCTCTCTCTCTTTTAGGAACTGTTCTTTGAAAAGTGAAAACATGGTTACTATTGGCGACTGTCAAGCCTTTGAGTCGCCGAGCAGCTGAATAGGGGAATAATGTTGACGCGCCCGTTGTTCAAAACGTAAGTCAAAGTTCCAGATTAAAAACTTCTTTAGTTGTTATCAAATCCTTAAAATCCAGAAAAACACTGATCAAAAACATTCTAAGCTTGAGCGGTCAGCAAAAGTCGACTTCCCCCATCGCCCACTCATTCACAAAAATTCCCTCGGGACGTGAACAGATGATATAGCAATCACTATTACTGTTACCGACACCACGTGACCCAAAGCTACGCCTATCCACAACAGTTACTGGGCCCAAAACTAAGTCAGTGAAGTCACCTGTTACCTGCTCGGTTTCACTTTCTTTCATTCCTGCAGGACCAGTATTAACCAAGAGAGCCAAATCATTGTTGTTTCAACACACAGGGGGCGAGCTTGGGCTGATGAGGGCAGCACGCTGGGCCCTGACCGCCATGCACGAGACATTGAGAGTCTTGACCGCTATGCTATGGAGCGCTGGGAGATCATCCTGCAGTTTATGGTGGGTTCTCCCAGCGCTGTCAGCCAGGACCTGGCACAGCTTTTGGTTCAAGCAGGCCTCATGAAAAGGTATGCAGTAGTCTTTATGTCACATTCACATTTTACATGTAATGTATATGAAAGTAAGAAGATTCAAGATTGTTTATTTGCCACATGCATAGTCGTACAAGTACAAAACACAGTGAAATGTGACTGTGCAAACATTATAAACAATAAGTACATTTAAATTAAAAATCAGGAACTTTTTAATGAAAAATCTGCAAATGTACTTTGTGCCATATGAGCACTGCGGAGCAATGCAAGCAGAGTGGCCAGAGTAATGTAACAGTAAAAACTCTAAAACACTTTTAAATCTGCATTTACAGCTCATGTGATATAAATGAAATTCAGCATTATAATGTGCTCCAGTCAAAAACATCTGCATTCTTGCCAGTGATGGTTGTTACTGTGAGATGTTGTTGGTTTTCTCTATAAAGAAGTGCTCATGTTTTTATTTGTAGCCCTGGGGCGTTTGCTTTGGCTGCAGTCAATGAAACAGTCAGTGTTGAAAAACGAATGAAACGTGGCTTGAATCCTCTGGCTGTTGTCTGATGGTGATTGGACTATTTAATGCGGGGAAAAGAATTGGTACTCATATCCTTTAGAACAGGGGTGTCAAACTCAAATACACAGTGGGCCAAAATTCAAAACTGGAACAAAGTCGCGGGCTAACGCTAATATTTATTGAAAAAAAAAGTCTTCCTCCAGATATAAGAATGAATCTTTTCTTATGGACTCAAACACGTTTTGCTGAAAAACTGAATATGGAACAAGCAAAGCTTTATACTAAACAATATATATATTAACTGTATAATACCAGTAGGCCAGCTCTGATAGTCATTTGGTGTGGCTTTGCGGGCCAAATGTAATTAGGCTGCGGGCCAGAGTTTGACACCTATGCTTTAGAAACTCCAAGGGATGGGGGAACGTAATAAAAAAGAGACATGAAGGCAAAATTGATAAATTAGGTTTTTATTAATTTTTGTTTCATACTAATTAAACTGAAAGAGACAACAAGCCACTGTCACCTTCAAAAGAAAGGAAACACTCAAAGTTGGTCACTAAACAGAAGGCCAGTCACACACTCGTCTTCACAGACCAGTCGTAAGCAGTCACCACACACAGCTCACTAGCTGAAAACCAGAAAGGCTCTCTGGCAGCTCTCCTTTCTCTGGCCTCAAGTACTCTAGCTCAATTGCTGGGTAGAGTCAGGCGGCGCCTAAAGCTAGACACACCCATGCAGTGTAAATTCAATTAGTCTGTATTCAGTGACTTTGCCTGTACATGACGTATGAGTTTTCCAGCTGCCGAGCCTGATGGATTCTACGATTAGTAACCACTGACGCTGTAGATTGTTACTGTAACCGTACAAGACAAGGAAGCCCAGGTCAGACTTTTCCAGAAAACATCAAAGAAAGGCTTCAGGCTGGGGGGGGATGATGTGTGCAGCCTGTGTGAGCTCAGGTCAAATGTAAATAACGTGTTGGGTGCGCCTGAGTAAGAGGAAATCCAAAGTGGACAGCTGTAACATTGTATGAAAGAAGTAACAGTAAAGAGTAGACTATGCTAAAATAAATTTTCTTTCATCTCCATGGCGTTAACAGAAACTCGCCATGGGGGAGGGTTTGTTGGCGAGTAATGTCGGCGCTGTATCTCATGTTGTCCTGATTTATTCTCCGACTGTCAGTGAAGCAGGAGAGGCGCCCTACATCACCTCAGCTGGCTTCCAGTTCCTCCTTCTGGACACAGCCTCTCAGCTATGGTACTTCACCTTGCAGTACCTCAAAACTGCTCAGGTATGCCTCTCTACTACTTCAACCTGATCAGGTTTAAACTGATTTGACGAGCAGGTCGTTGAGCCTCTAGAGTCTGTAGCCTGTCATTACTCTGACTAGCACGTGTTCAGGCAGACGGGGCTCTAGTCCTCGATGCGAGCTGCTGCAGACGCTGGCTGGACTGAAAACCCTACTTTGGGTCACAGAAATCTTTTCTAAGGATATCTGCTCTATATAGTGCACATACTGGCCTGAAGGGCTGAGCTCTGTGTGGGAATGGAAATCTATTTGTGAGACAAAGTGAAACTTGGCAGTTGTGAATAACAATGAAAACTGGGCAGCATCTTTACATCAGCGTGTAAATTCATTTTGTTCCCACTCTCAATCAGCCATCATTTCCCTGTGAAGTAAGAAAAACATCTTTAGCTGAACCAATCAGGCTCTTCGTGTCACCAGACCCATTTAATCATAATTAATCATTAATCATCCTGTCGCACTCCACGTTGATTAAAGTGAATAATGAATCCTGATGGCAGCACGGTGGCACGGTGGTTAGCACTGTTGCCGCACAGCAAGAAGGTCCTGAGTTCAATTCCAACATCAGGCCGGGGTCTTTCTGTGTGGAGTTTGCATGTTCTCCCCGTGTTTGCGTGGGTTCCCTCCGGGTACTCCGGCTTCCTCCCACCGTCCAAAGACATGCAGCTTGTGGGGATAGGTTAATTGGATAATCCAAATTGCCACTAGCTGTGAATGTGAGTGTGAATGGTTGTCTGTCCCTGTGTGTTGGCCCTGCGACAGACTGGCGACCTGTCCAGGGTGTACCCCGCCTCTCGCCCTATGACAGCTGGGATAGGCTCCAGCGCCCCCCGCGACCCTGAAAAGGATAAGCGGAAGCGGATGGATGAATCCTGATGTAACATAATTAAAAGTGTAATTATGGATAGAAATACATTTGTAAAGCTTGTTGAAAGACTGTCCTTGAGGTGTTTATTCACCAATGATTTTAGTTGTCAGTTGCCTAGCAACTAAAGCTCGACCTGAGGACATACTCGACCCGTGTCGATGAACAGTTAAGCAAACACTCAAAGAGCTGCAGAGTGTGCAGAGCTGTACTTGTTTCCTGTTATGTCCAACAAGAAACACCACTCTGCTGGTAAGTTTGCCATAAAAGACAATAATTTATGGTTACATTAGACTAATATTAATGACTACAAATTGTCATTAATTAATTTTTTTTTAATTTAACCTTTATTTAAACAGGAAGATCCCACTGAGATTAAAAACCTTTTTTTAAGGGTGACCTGGACCAGACAGGCGTACAGAAATACAAATTATGTAAATTATAGAAAAACCCTATGAGCCACCTCTTAATTGTGGATCAATGTTGAATGCATCATTAATATCGATTTAAAAAGAGGACATCAAATCTGTGCCCATAGTTCAAGATCCCCCTCTTCTTTCAGCTGCTCCCTTTAGTGCTCTCCACAGTGGTTCATCCTCGTCTGTCACACCAGCCCTCTGCATGTCCTACATGCACGAACCTCCTCTCAGGCTTCCCCTTTTCTTGCCTGGCAGCTCCATCTTCATCATCCTTTGTCCACCATATCCACCCTCCATCCTCTCCTACTATGAGCTGTTCCTTATTTCTCATCCTGTCCATCCTGCTTACTCCCAAAGAAAACATCTTCTGCTTTCCATTTTTTGTCAGTGCTGCATCACACGTGTCTCGGTGTCCTCTGTGTTGAATTAAAATGTTAGAGCTGAAGCCCCAGCCTGAAACGGACCAAAAGTGTTGATCTCACAAAAAGAAACTGTCCATTCAGGATCGAGGAGGTTGTAGAAATGACTCCGTATCAGCGAATCTTTATCTCACTGCTGTTGTAAGACCTCAGCCCTGCTGTGTAAAGTGCCATGTGGTGCATGCAATGATCCAAGATGGAGTTTATTTGTTTTCCTTTGCTTGTTATTAAATGCTTAAATGTGTAATTGAACCGATCTACTCATATCTCATACTTTGTGTCTTGTAGTCCAGAGGGATGGACCTGGTGGAGATCTTGTCATTCTTATTCCAGCTCAGTTTCTCTAGTCTGGGCAGAGTGAGTGCACAGCAGTTAGCATCTGTTTGACTTATTTATTCATTTTTAATTGATTATTTTTACTGGGGTGTGTGCAAAAAGCAATATAACTTTGCTGTAATACGGTGGTCTCAGGTCTTCCTTTAACGTGCTGCCTGTGTGCCCTAGGATTACTCGGTGGAGGGTATGAGCGAGTCATTACTGACTTTTCTGCAGCACCTGCGAGAGTTTGGACTGGTGTTCCAAAGAAAGGTGAGCTACTTGAGAATCTTACTTTGTGTGCAAAAAAACAACCCAACTAGCTGTTTGAATGGGTCTAGCTTTAATGGTTGTGGCTTGATTTTACTTAACCAGTTGTTGTTCTCCTTCGGATTGGTTTTCTTTCTTGTGTAAATAAGAAAGTGTAGAATCATTCCTACTGTTTGACAAATTTGGGCAGTTAGAGGGAAAAGGTTAAGTACAGCTTACAATAAACACTTCAAACTGAAACCTGTGTGTCCTGGACTAGAGTACAACACTGACAGAGCCATTGCACGTGAGACCTGGTTTGCTAGCTGCTACTGCAGTGCAAGTTAGTGCAGTTACATAGCAGGGTTGGACTGGTTTGATTACGCTGTCACCACAAAGAGCTGTGGAAGGCAAAATGACCTAAATGCTTAAAAATGGTTGAAATCTGTATAGAGTTAGTTACCAGAACACTATCAGTAGTTAGAAGTCTGGTTTTGGTTGTTGTTTTTTAATGCTTCCATCTTCTGCTATTTAGAGGAAGTCCAGGAGATATTATCCCACCAGGCTGGCAATCACTCTGGCTGCAGGAGTCGCCAGCAGCTCCTCCTCCTCTAACCTGGCTTCCAGTCCTGGTACTGGAGATGCAGGTTTCATTGTGGTGGAAACCAATTATCGTATCTATGCCTACACAAGTATGTGTGAACACCTCAAGACTTTTCACATCTAGTCACTATGTAACCATTGATTAAGAGGGTGTCAGGATGGCTGAAGCTCCATTGTAAACCGCATAGAATTTGACCCTGACTTCCTTTAACTGTTTTACAGTAGCATCTCTAATTGTTCGTGTAATTTTCCCCTTTGTTTCATTTGAAAGGATGCACAGCTATCATACAGAACCTGTCCAGACTTGTGTTTGTGTGACTCTCACAGATTCAGAACTTCAGATTGCTCTGGTGGCTCTCTTCAGTGAAATGCTCTACCGCTTCCCCAATGTAGTTGTGGCTCAGCTGACAAGGGAGTCTGTGCAACAGGCTATCGCCAACGGAATCACTGCACAGCAGGTACTGCTGCACTGGGCTCACTTACACACTAAAAATTCAGTTCTCATCTTTCCCATCCTCCAATCCCCTGTACTGATGGAGCCGCAGCAAAAACACAAACTGTGAACATTAGACAGATTGGAACAAACACAGAAAGTAATTATGATAGAACATTAGACTTGCACTCCCGTATGCATTGCCACCACAGAGCTGTAACCTTCGTCACATGGCCTGATGTTACAGTAGAAAGTGAACACTCAGTAAATGTATGAAAGAATTAGCTCACATAAACCTTTGATTTCCTCTTTGGAAACTTTTAGGAATACTTTTCAGCAACAACTTCAGGATCAAATGTTTTCCCTACTTGATTTTGTGTTAACGCACACCTGAATCCAGAGCAGCGAATTGTCGAACAGTATATTCATTTTTGTTAAATGAGTAATGGCACATAGTTTTGTGATTCATCTAATTGAAGCCCTATTAAGGAACATTTTATTTTTAGAACGTCCTGATGTGTAAAACCTTAAGAGGGTGCACTTGTTTTGACATTGATGCGTCGGGCACGAAGCGGCGCACACCCCGGACAGGCCACAGAGAAAACTTACATTTACAATCACGGGCAATTTATTTAAATCCCAAATGCCACAGCAAACCGGGCCGGTGCAAGTATACCCACCCGCTGTGGATAAGTCCAGACTGGGACAGAGTCTAGTCCCTCTGAAGGCGACTGGCTCCAGAGCTGAGTTTTTACATTTTGTGTTCTCTTCTGTTCAGATTATCCATTTTCTGAGGACCAGAGCTCACCCTGTCATGCTCACTCGGGTACAGCATTGATTCTTTTTGCAGTTCAGTCTAGTAAAATGAATAATGAACAGGTTAATCGCTCTGCAAAGTATCCTCATCCTCTGTTGTGCTTTTAGACCCCGGTGCTGCCTCCAACTATAACAGACCAGATCAGACTGTGGGAGCTGGAGAGAGATCGCCTGCAGTTCACAGAGGGTGAGCATGTTTATCAAGTGTGTGTGTTCAAAACAACACTTAACACTACTTGTTTATTTCTTGTCTTCATAAATTTGTTGTAATGTACATATCCACTGTGCTAATTACAGGTGTGCATCAGTAATCGTGCCATGCTAACAAGTAGTCTGCTGCTCTCACATATTGTTTTCAGTTTCACATTAAAACCTGTGGTAAAGGTGAAAAATACCCGCCCTCCCTGTTAGATGTGAAACATCTCCCTGCAAACTGTCGCTCACTCAATGTTTCCTCCTTTTTGGACTGCTCTTTGTAAATGAGATTGCTTGTGTAGGACAATCCCAACAGTCAGGCTATTTTAATCCACTGTTCTTTCTTCTTCTTCTTTCTGATGATGCCCAGTTCACACTTCAGCAGGTCATCTTGATGATGCCTAGTTGCCTAAATGCATTGTGTCGCTGCCATGTGATTCAGTGATTAGTCATATGCCTTAACAAGTAACAGGTGTATCTAATGAAGTGGCAATAAACAGCAGACTGTGTACATGTACTTTTATCAGTGAGTGGTTCCTTGGCGCTCTATGTAATGTCTGTGAACCATCATTTGATTCTTCCTGGTGACGCTGGACTGACTGCTGACAGAGACCTTTCAAAATAGCTGAGCTGTAACTCTCATTGCATGAACTCTACACTATGATAGAGAGGAAGAGAACTGATTGTGTGTGTGTGTGTGTGTGTGTGTGTGTGTGTGTGTGTGTGTGTGTGTGTGTGTGTGTGTGTCTGTCTGTCTGTCTGTCTGTCTGTCTGTCTGTCTGTCTGTCTGTCTGTCTCCTTCAGGTGTGCTCTATAACCAGTTCCTCTCCCAGGCTGACTTTGAGGTTCTGCGAGACAGAGCTCAGGTTGGTTTGTTTTTATATTAATACCAGAATCATAACAGATTAATATACTGTGTAATGTTTTTAAGGATCCTTAGTCAGTTAGGATATGCTGCTTTGATTTTGAGGTCTCCAGCATTGCTTGTACCTGCTGCTCCAAGACGCTCATAATGTCTTCATAATGGAACGTCCTGGTGTACAACAAAACGTAACAAGTTGTAATAGTACAAATTTTATTAAACATAACTCCTGTATTGGTGTTACAGCACAAGAGCCAGTGACGTTGTGCCATATTTTCACTGTATGTATTCATATAATTCCATGCGATCGACGTGTTGTAGTTACAGCAGATGGACATCTTTTTAATGACTTTTCTGTTCATCAAATGCCAAGACTGTCTTTGTAGCCTGCTGGTGTCTAACAAAGGTGTTCTGGTGCAGGGCCTGGGCTGTCTGGTGTGGCAGGATGTGGCCCACAGAGTGATGGTGGTGACACCACAGGGACACAGCGAGGTCAAGAGGTTCTGGAAACGTCAGCGATCTCACACGTAAACGGAGGAGGAGAAATGTGGCTTTTCTTGCTTTCCACTACCATCACCGTTGTTAGTACGATAGGAAAGTGAAGATGACTTTGTATTTTTTTACAACATGCTAGCATCTGAGTATTAAACTGAACAGTTTCTGCTCATGCTTTCCTTTTTGAGTAGCTGTGTGTATCCTATACTCAGAATCAGGTTTTGATTACTGAGTTCTCGAAGACACCCTTTGGACTCTAAGTACTACAAAGTACTGTGGAACAGCCACTGTAAATAATCGTATAACTGGTGGAGTTACAGTGAAAAAGCTGACAGCAATAATGGAACCAAACTCAGAAGATTAATTTGTAAGAAGCCAACTTTATTAATTGATCTGTTTGGTGTTGTGACCTGAAAACTAAGTGCATGGCTCAAAGACACCCTGTACACACTGGATAAGGATTGTGGCTTTTTATATTTTTGAGTTCAGAATAAAAGTTGTTGAATTATATTTTCACAATAATGTTTTGAATTAACTTCACATAATACCTGCTTGAAACAACAGACACTTATCTTTATGTTGGTATTGCCACTAGAGCAGCTTTTTTTCGTGGCTGTGGAAGTTTAACTGGGACAGTATGGTGTCTTGTAAGTAATTGCTGTTTGAAGTACTCATCCATATTCAGTAAAATATAGTAGATGACCTTAGTGGTAGCTCCCAGTTTGAAGTAGCAGATAGGATTAACTAAAATTTTGCTAGACCAGGCCATGGACCAGTTGGAAGGTTGATGGATCCCTCCAGCCTGCTTCCCTGAGGAGGATCGCAACTCCTGAGTTTCCTTCAGTGTGTTCACCATAGTGCCAGTTAGTGAGTGTGATTGAATGAAAATGTTAGAGGAGCCTAGGCATAGATAAAAACACTGTGTAGATATGTGTGTGTATGAGTAAATGAAATTGATGAGAAGTTAAAATGCACTCCTCATGAGCAAGAATATCATGGTAACGTTTGTCTTTTAATAGTTTCTTTTGCAGTGTGGGAATGACTGTACAGCATACATCTTCAGTGACTCAAAAACAAGAATGAGGTGCACAAGTTTGAATTTTCTCTCATCCACACAGTCAAAAGTATACACACAGGCACCTCTGGATATTGGACAACCCTTCTTGGCAGAATTGGTTGAGTTCTTTAAATCAGTTGTTTTTCTCTCTGCTTTTAAACTTAGCCCACAAATTTTCTATGGGGTCAAAGTCTGGGGTTTTGGGAAGGCTTTGTTCTTGATTGGTAGCCTCAGTCCATGTTGATGCAAAACTGACTTCACTATAGAAAGTGATGCTGGTGTTCAGCAGTTTCCAGTTCATGGCAGGATTGAGCCTTAGTGGTTCCTGAGTTGCTCTTGAGCATCCAAACTATTTTCTTCTCATCTGAAGATGACAATTTAGGTCTTCTTCCTGATTTTGGCAAAGTGGTGACATACCAGAATAAGCTGTACTTGTGTACAGCAAATTTCAAATCAAAAGCAAATTTCCATGTTCTGAGGTAAAGGTGATATTTGACAAAGAGGGCTGTGATTGCCCCAATCTGATCTAAAGGTTTAAGTTTGTTCAGGGAGAATCTGATGATTACGTGGCATATATAAGGGCCCATGAACTGTTTTCTTTCATGTATAATCTGATATTACATTAGATTGGTATTTTTTTCTTTATTTTTCGCCCTTTCCAGACACGCTTTGTCTTATTGGACCCCTGTATGTTTGAGCTACAATGGAAACCTAAAAAGATCTATAAAAGGATGTACAGTTAAATGACATCTGATTTAACTCCACATGAACACGTGAGTAATAAACATGTGTTATAAATATAATGCAGCCCACCATCTGCAGTATTCACTGCAGGTTCTGAACCCGCAAAAGATTGTTAGCCAAGTTACATTTAACCCAGTATTATATCTATGTATATTAAATATCATGATACAAATGTAATTTTTAAAAAATTACTGCGATTGTGAAAAGAATTAAACCAGCAGAAGGAAGAGTGGGCTGTAGTGGGGTGCCATAGTCGGTGCAATGTGACTGGCTGGCCTAGCGTTAGTCAGGCGCTGGTTTGTACTAGTAATGTGTCGGTCGCGAACGAAATGGCTCTTAGAGCCGACTCCTTATCGCGAGCCGTGGGGTTTTTTTTGTTTGTTTTTTTTCCTTTCTCTCACCCTCTCTCTCGCACTTTTTCCCCCGCTTCACTCTGCACGCGAGCCTTGTGTGGAGTGAATAAATAAAAGTATATTTATGGTGACCCCTAGAGACAACGCACGTACAAACTTCAAAACACGTCCGAACTCTGAAGCACGTAAAAACTCCAAAACACGTACAAAAGACAACAGAAGTGCTCCAGGATGCTAGGCACAGTGTTGAGCTTTTGTTACCTAGTGGCTACGCAAGCCAGCAAGTACCAGCGACCGGATTTGGTGTGTGGTAGTAACAGGTAAATGAACATTTTTTTTTAAATTATTTGAATATATATATATATATGAGTGCATGTGTATAAATACACAAACAATACACTTATGCTTTCAATTGTGTAATTTAAGTGATCTAGGTAGCTCTGTTTTGGAAGTTCAGTTAATGCTAGAAATGTGTTTTGGAGTTTGTACGTGCTTTGTCTCTTGGGGCCACCGCATATATTTATATATAAACATATATAAATAAAACCACTTTTTTTTACATTAGTAATTCATTTTGTGCATAATTTTATATTGTTGTTAATAATAAATTCATTGAAGCAACAAAACAACCTAAAGAGTCGGTTGGGAGCTGAAAGAGCCGGCTCTTTTTAGTGAGTCGAGCCGAGAGAGCCGGTACTCTAAAAAGAGCTGGAAATCCCATCACTAGTTTGTACACATACTCAAAGTATGAGTACACGCGAGGCGACCTTCCACTGCCCTAAACACTGACACATTATTGTACCGGGAGGTTAAAGAAATATCACAGCAGCCGAACGACTGGGCCGCCCATGGAGCCTGGGACCTCGCGTGAAACTCTGAAGCGTGCAGGAAGCCCCAACCCGGCCGGTCTGCGGGAGGAGACGCCGGGAGAAGAGGCGAAAGGCGGAGACGGCAGAACCACGATGAGAAAGCAAGTGGGAGCAGACTGTGGGAATGATGGAGAGTCTAACAGCCAGATTAAAAACGGAGAGGAATACGAGGAGGAATTGGACCCAAGAATTCAGGTATGTTGCTAAAGGACCGTTTCCCTCCCCGCATTAGCAAATGCGTCATATTTCCCGAGCCAAACAAAACTACGATAAACGCCGACCGTACATGGCAACGATCTGCTCCTGACACAGACCGACGCCTGGGTCAAGCCCATCCCCTGTCTAACAATATTTCTAGCTGTCTGGTTGTATTCTGCTTTTAAAACACGTCGTCTTTCCCGTGTGTTTCCAGGAGGAGCTGGAGCACCTCAACCAAGCTAGCGAAGAGATCAACAAGCTGGAGCTGCAGCTGGATGTGAGGAGGTCACAGTAAACCTGCGGACACCCCAGCCCCCACGTAGTTTTGCGTTTTGTTCGTACATTAGGGTAACAAAACCCGAGACCCCATTGCAAAGTAAAAGCGATCTTAAGGTGAATGTAATTTCAACATTACCCAACACTAAAGATATAATATGTCATGAAATAAATGATAAATATGAAGAATACATTTTACTTGAAATCAGCAGTATCCATGCTCAAAGAGTCACTCAGTCTGTGGAAACAGGTTTCCATATATTAACACTGTGAAGCACAAGGAAAACATTTCATTAGGCTTTTACTCACTAATGTTCCCCCGTCTGTTTCTCTCTGTTTTTCTTCATTCTGTACTTACCCAGTCATCTGTTAACTCTTCCCTGAAATCTCTGCAACGTTCATTTTTCCTCAGCTTCCACCATTTATTCCTTGCCTCTGCCTTCACTCGCTTCCACTTCTTGATGACCAAAGTCATCCTGCAGACTAACATCTGATGCTTCCTAGGTACATTCTCCATCTAGCAATCTTCTCTTTCAGATTGCACCTTCTCCATAGGATGTAGTCCAGGGGTCCTCAATCCCAGTCCACGAGGGCCGGTGTCCCTGCAGGTTTTAGATCTCACCCTGGGTCAACACACCTGAATCACATGATTAGTTCATTACCAGGCTTCTGCAGAACTCCAAGACATGTTGAGAAGGTAATTTATCCATTTAAATCAGCTGTGATGGATCAAGGACACATCTAAAACCTGCAGGGACACTGGCCCTCGTGGACTGGGATTGGGGACCCCTGATGTAGTCCAACGTATAGTATCCTCCTCCTTATAGATCATCCCGTGTTCCCCCCCTCTTCTTGAATCATGTGTTCACCGCAGCCATTATTTCCATCCTTTTGGCAAAATCCACTGCCATCTGTCCTTCTGCATCACTCTCCAATCCAACACCTTCTCATCAGTTGTGTTACCTTCATCTACCAGTCCACTCAAGTCTGCTTCAATCACAAATCTCTCAGTCTTGAAGACACACTCCACCCATTCATCCATCTCACTTCCAAATTCCTTTCTCTTCTAACTGAAATCCAACCTGTTGGGCATACGCACTGAAAACATTCAACATCACCCCTTTGATGTCCCGCTTCACACTCATGATGCTGTCTGACACTCTCTTCATATCCACAGCACTGTTTTCATGCACTTCTTCCAGACTGACCCTATCCATATCCACCATAAGAGAGCTGTTTAATCTCTTGTCCTTGCTTCCATCCCATCTGGTCTCCTGCACACACACAATATGTGGTGAATGGACTGGTTATAGTGCTTTTCTAACCTACTCAAGCACTCAAAGTGCTTTATGCAACATGTCATATTCACACCCATTTATACAGGCACTGAAGATCGCTTTTAGAGGACTTTGGTCTCAGTTTCTGTTACTGTAATGCCTCGTATATAGTGAGGGCTGGCTTTACTGTGTTTCTTGAAGTGGGGAACATTTTGGTTCCCTTGGCCAGGACACCCACTCCAGGATGTTGGATCTTCAGGAGTACTGAGATCCAAAAGTGGCCAGTGGTATGCTGCTCCCATAGTAATGGCAGCAGCCTGCTGCTGTTCTCAGAACGTTGCCTGCTGCTTTTGACTGGCCGGTAAGCCAGTGCTGGCCCGAGGTTTGGTTTTTGACCGTGTCCACAGCTAAACCCATCACCAACCACCCACCTCAGCATGTATTAACCAGGTCTGAACTACGGTGTTACAGACCGCTGGTCCCCCAACCTTTGTTATGTAGTCATTATTATATATTATATGTAGTAATTATTTCTACATCTGTGTAGGCCAAATAAAAAAACATTAAAATTAAATATCCAGTTTTATGTATTCAAATTTGTGTAAGGAAATAGAGGGCATGTACTGTACACACTTCATCATGAAGAGTGCACTATGCCTCGCTCTAAAATAAAAAGTCAGAACAGCGTAACAATTATAATACTGCTTGAAATGGCTAATGATAAATGGAAAATATA